TGTTCTAATCTAATCTGTCCTGTAATCCTATTGACTTGGCACCCACCATTTACATTTCACCAATATCTGTCATATTCCCTTAATGTACTGTATTACAGTACAATATAACGACTAGCATACTTCAGTAAAATTATCTACAAAGTTTGTAATATTTGCTCTAGTGAGGACAATGCTGATTTTTTTTCCAAGTCAGGGCTCCAGACTAAGGTGACCCTCCTCACCCGGGGGATTGTCACCCCATAAAATCGTGGATGACGATGAGCTGATTACCTTTCTAATAAGCAAATTTAATATTACTTTGTCACATTAAGTGCACATAATACACTTACAGTTGACCTGACCTTTTGACCCATCAGTCAATAGGCATGTTTGTACAATATCCCTTGTAAAGTTTAGTGAAGGAACAATATATAAAACACAAGTTATCTTGTGGTGACCAAAGGTTAACAAAGAGCACAACATTATATGCACAAATACACTACTAAAAAAAAACAGGATGTAATACTGTATATAGTACATTCATTAGAGTAATATATACAATATTATAAACTAAGTTCTAACTCTAAATTGCATTTCTTATTCCAACGAAGCAATATTAGAGATATGGTTATGATTTATGAGTTATTTAAAATGTGATGTTCTTGAAGACAAGTAGACCTGTGTTAAGAAATATACTAGTGACAGTTACTTCAACTGTAAGACTGTTTAAGATAGATAAAAAATCTTACGAGATTCAGCAAATGAACAAGAAGGGATCCTTTTTCCTATTAAACACCAGACATAAGCAAGTTACATAAATATACAGTTCAGTACAGTATTACTATTATAGCCATAACATAATTACACATACAGTTCACTTTGGTTGATTCACAATGAAGTGCACAATTTCACATTTTATATACGGTAAATAACTAATTGCATTTTTTATTTTCATCATTCACAAATAAAAGTCACTCAATGTCCACTCTTTATATTGTATGAAAGTTTATGACATCTCTTCTGCATAGTTCTAATTTGGAAGAATGTACTGTACACAATAAATGAACCATAAATCCACAAGAACAAGAAAGCATGAAATGAAGGACTAAAGTATTAAACCCCATTGCATGTGAAGTTACCTGCATTTACTACTCAACCCGAACACCTCCTGCTCTGTTCAGGGGGGTGTCTGTGATCTGAGCAGAGATGTTGTCCTCTTAGGTCAGTGATTGCCTGGGAGAACAACAGTTTATGAAAGAAGTTGAAATCGTGATCCAGCTATGCTTTGAATAGCTAGTTGGTAAACAGGCATACTGGGACAAACTCTGGAGCCAAAAATAAAAAAAAAATAAAAAAAAAATAAATAAATAAATAAAAATAAATAAATAAATAACATATATATATAAATAATATATATATATATATATATATATATATATATATATATATATATATATATATATATATATATATATATATATATATATATATATATATATATATATATATACAGTGGTCCCTCAGTTAACGACACAATTCTTCCACAGAGTCGTTCGTTAACCAAATCCATTGTTTCAATGGGATATTGGGTAACTGGTTCCAGCTCACAGAAAAATACATACAGAGTAAAAAAAAAATGCAGTAAAGTACACTTACTTTGAGGTGTGTATGTAGAAGGTTCCTGGTTGATGATGATGATGGGAATTAGAAGTGGGGGTGGAGGAGAAGGAAGTGGGGATGGAGGAGAAATCACCTTTCAGGGTACCCATGCTTGATGCCGTCATTTCACCAATAAAATTTTAAGTTCACTAGGTGTAATTCAAGATTATTTTATTTAAATCAACACTGCACTGCACTGCACTATATATTATCAATATGTTAACTAAATTTCAGAATGACCAAATAATTTCAATGTAAAAATGCAAAAATATTCAAGACACCAACAAAATATATACTGTAATCACTCCACTGTCAACAGAGCCCAACTGACGCCTGGTGGCTGAGTCAAGCGTCTGATGGGTGCACAAAAAAACTAGCTACCTGTACTGCATATATTATCAATATGTTAAATAAATGTTAAAATGACTAATAATGTTAATATAAAAGCAAAAATATTAAAGAGCACAACTTTCTTGATATTTACTCCACTGGAAATGAATGTAAACATAGAACAGATTACTGAATTGGCAGACTAGCCCATCAGCTGATGCTCACAACAAAACGTGATGTTCGTAAGGATTTAGTTAATCAATTTTTGTTCGTTATCCGAATTGAAGAGTCTTATGGAAGGTTAATTTGTTAACCGAAATTTCGTTAATGATTGAGGGATTCAAGTCAAGCAAACAAGCTCCAGGGTTCGCCTTAGCACTACTTGCTGACTGACAATACAGTGGGTTTTTTAAGGACAGTTGGATTGGCATCCAAGCTATTTTCATTAATGCCAGTTTACCAGAGCAAATACTCGTACTTGTTTATGCATCAATCTATGATGACCTGACAGGAGAATGCTTCTACCCCAGATTGAAGAACACTCACTAGACAAAGCTGACTCTGCCAGAGGGTGTTTTGGAAAGGCAATCCTGCAGGTCACTTGTCAAATGACCTGTGGGCTATGAAAGATTATTTCTGTACAGTATTCCAATTCATTCAAGACATATAAATATTAGTATTCACTGAATACAGTTTACTGAACAATCAAGAGGACACAAATAAAATAAAATATATATTAGGTATTTCTCTAGAGAAATATAAAATATTAAGAATATTTATTAATGCACGACTGAAAATGGTGCAGATTTACTACACCCAAAATAATCTGAAATTCTTTATTTAAGTTTTCTATATCAAGTAAGTTTGCCTTTTGGATACCATTTACTTCTAAACTTTGGTATAACTAGTCAGTAAAATTGCTGTGCTACACTGAGACTAGTTACTAAACTTATCATCCAGTCTTCCTCTGTATAACCTGAGAGAACACACTGCCACTACAAACTTGTAATTAAGCCAAATGTTAGTCTTCAAATCTGCAGTACTAATAAAAAATATTTTGGAAGCATAATTTATAAAGCTTATATGAAGGAATTGGCAAACAGTAATGGACGGGACTGCTCAAGTATGCAGAGTTGTATGGGAAGATGAGGCCACCTTAGCAAACTGGGCTGTCTGGACTTCAGGATACTGTATTTCCTGGTGGGGCAATAAAAGCTATTTGTAGGTTCCTAACAACACAGGGAATTCTCCCAACATTCAGACAACCCAATCCACCCGAGACCACCCGCACAAAAATTGAAACCTGTAATGCTGTATAATTTCATTCTCTGTTAGCTTTTAAAAACATGTACTGTACAGTATAATTTCAGAACTGAACAGGCTTCAATGCATCATTCTCTGCCAGTGACAATTATGACTGAGATAAAACCTTTCCAAAAAGCTTTACCTCATACTTGTGCCCTTCTCGTGACACCTCATGTTCCAACCCTGCTTCTCACTAACTCTCCTCCTCAGTACATTTGCTCACACTCACTATCTTTTTAAGTTCCTTCACAACTGCATTGCTGGGTATTTTACACAACACAATAATATACCAAGGCCAACTAATTACAAGCATACAAGGTATACAAGTTAACCACACATGCACACACCATATTTACAAGTACAGGTTGTACCTCTCTAGTCCGGCAACCTCGGGACCTGACCGGTGCCGGACCATGGAAATTCACCCTTTTCCTGGATAGATAGTGACTTGTGCTTATGCTTGGTAGCACTAGCACCACTTTCTCTGCATCATGGTCTCTTTGAAGACATATTGAAGGGTTAAATGTCGTATAGTAGCTTCTCAAATTTCGCGAGTTTTTAATTCTTAACGTATTTTATTGGAACACCAAAAAATAAATAAATAAAAATTTTGACGGCGGAAACTTGAATTTCGATGAGTTTGAACGGCCCGCCAACGTGCAGATGACATGCATAATCGTGTAAACAGCGTCATTTCTCTTATGTACAAAAGATTCATTATTGTTTATTACTGAATGTCTTTTTTATTGAATTAATGTTTATGTGTGAAAAATGAGCAATACAATTCATTAATAATACGTAGAATATTAAAACACGAGGAAATGACACAGCATTGTTTTCGTTGATTACAAAACCAGTGACTGACTGGTTCTACATATAAAACTGAAGAAAATAAGACCTTGGCTGTAGCTGTAGTAAAATTAATATGGTTGTTTTAAGTAATGTTATTTAATGTTAATAAATGGAACAATAGAAGTAGCTAACGATAATGGTAAAGAAAAAAGAGAGATCGCGTATGTAAGTGCGCATGCGCACACGTGAAAACATATCATCATTACTTTACATAAGAATATGAAAGCAACACTTATTTACTGTTCATATATATTTTAATTAATGTTTCTGAATTTGTTTTTATTGGATTAATGTTTGTGTGTGCAAAATTAACAATACAATTTATTAATAATACGTGGAATATTAGAGGAGACGAGACGGCTGCCGGCATTGTTTATGTTAAAGCTTACAAAACCAGTGACTGATTGGTTCTATATATAAAACTGAAGAAAATAAGACCCTGATTTTAGCTGTAGTAAAATTAAAGTAAAAAATTAATATGGTTGTTTGAAGTACCTGTAATGTTATTTAATGTTAATAAATGGAGCAATATAAGTGACTAACCATTAATGGTAAAAAAAAAGTGAGACTGCGCGTATGTAAGTGCGCACATGTGAAAACATATCGTCATTACTCTACATAAGAATATGAAAGCAACACTTATTTACTGCTCATATATATTGAAGGGTTAAATGTTGTACTCTGTATAGACAAGCAGAGAGAGAGAGAGAGAGAGAGCAGCCGAACTGCTGGATGTAAACAAACCTTAATTTCCCGCGGCTTTTTTTTTTAAAGGGATTAGCCCACCCGGGCATAGGTCACTGACCCACATTGGGGCCTGAGGGGCAAAAATTTAATACTCCTGTAATAATAATAATAATAATAATTCAGATAAGAAAAAAAAAAGAAAAAAGCTGCCTATCTACCTATTGGACAAACTAAAATCGTTCCGGACCACGGGAGTTTCCGGACCACAGAATGCCGGACTAGAGAGGTACAACCTGTATGATCAAAAGCAAAATATTACGAGAAGTTTAATGGCAGTACCATAATAAAAAAATTTCTTAAACTATGAAAATTGAGGCTGATGTGATCGTAAATTTCATGACGTAAAATGTCTTAATGAAAAAATAAATGCAAGTTCATCCACCCTTTCCCCCGTATATTTTCTGTAAAAACAATACTTCCTCAGGACACTTTCCACAATGACCAACACACTTATTTCCATGAAGTACAGTGCCCATATTTAAGACACAAGATATTAATACTTCTTATCAATCAATTCAATGGGTGAGAGGTGCAAAATTTAATTACTGATTAGTTTATGGCTAAAAACTTTCTTCATATACTGTAGTATAAATAATCTTCATATAACATGTGAATATATTTACAGAATCACTAACCTAGTGCAGGTGATTAAAAGGTAAAGCTTGCATGGATTTCATGAAAAATAATTATTGCAATACAGTACTGCTTTTACTTTAGCAGATAAACAAGATAACACTTACGTAGACAGAAACATACTGAATAAACTGTATTACAAATCCACTTTAGAACTCATCACTGGAATGTGCTGCATCTCAGTTCTCATACACAAATATTCACCTAAAACACACATTAAAGTGATGGTTACGAGATTCAGTAGCCATACAGAGGGCTGTGAAGGAAGATGGCCATTATATAGCCAACAACCCAGCAGGTGAAGAAAATGGGCAGTTATCGTGAAGTCTAGACACTGTTTAGTACGTTGAACGACCTTCCATAATCCTAGTGACCTGCAAAATATAAAATGCATGCACAACATTAAAAATGAAAGAGCCACCAACTATATAATTCTTTCAAACATCAACCATAGAGAAAAGAAAAGAACATTATTTTCCTATCATCAATTTTAATGCATATTGTAATTACCAAGAGCTTCTTCCTCACAACATCTGATAAGGTAAAAATGAAGTATTTCTATCAACTTAAATCACAGAATAAAGACCATAAAATTGAAATGTACAGTACTTACCCTGTCAGAGCAAGTACAGTACTTACCCTGTCAGAGCATGTACAGTACTTACCCTGTCAGAGCATGTACAGTACTTACCCTGTCAGAGCATGTACAGTACTTACCCTATCAGAGCAAGTACAGTACTTACCCTGTCAGAGCATGTACAGTACTTACCCTGTCAGGGCAAGTACAGTACTTACCCTGTCAGAGCATGTACAGTACTTACCCTGTCAGGGCAAGTACAGTACTTACCCTGTCAGAGCAAGTACAGTACTTACCCTGTCAGAGCAGTACAGTACTTACCCTGTCTGTACAGTACTTACCCTGTCAGAGCATGTACAGTACTTACCCTGTCAGAGCATGTACAGTACTTACCCTATCAGAGCAAGTACAGTACTTACCCTGTCAGGAAAGTACAGTACTTACCCTGTCAGAGCATGTACAGTACTTACCCTGTCAGTGCAAGTACAGTACTTACCCTGTCAGAGCATGTACAGTACTTACCCTGTCAGGGCAAGTACAGTACTTACCCTGTCAGAGCATGTACAGTACTTACCCTGTCAGGGCAAGTACAGTACTTACCCTGTCAGAGCAAGTACAGTACTTACCCTGTCAGAGTATGTACAGTACTTACCCTGTCAGGGCAAGTACAGTACTTACCCGGTCAGGGAAAAGACAGTACTTACCCTGTCAGAGTATGTACAGTACTTACCCTGTCAGAGAATGTACAGTACTTACCAGGTCAGGGAAAAGACAGTACTTACCCTGTCAGAGTATGTACAGTACTTACCCTGTCAGAGTATGTACAGTACTTACCCTGTCAGAGCATGTACAGTACTTACCCTGTCAGAGCATGTACAGTACTTACCCTGTCAGAGTATGTACAGTACTTACCCTGTCAGAGTATGTACAGTACTTACCCTGTCAGAGTATGTACAGTACTTACCCTGTCAAAGTATGTACAGTACTTACCCTGTCAGAGCATGTACAGTACTTACCCTGTCAGAGTATGTACAGTACTTACCCTGTCAGAGTATGTACAGTACTTACCCTGTCAGAGCATGTACAGTACTTACCCTGTCAGAGTATGTACAGTACTTACCCTGTCAGGGAAAGTACAGAACTTACCCTGTCAGAGTATGTACAGTACTTACCCTGTCAGAGCATGTACAGTACTTACCCTGTCAGAGCATGTACAGTACTTACCCTGTCAGAGTATGTACAGTACTTACCCTGTCAGAGTATGTACAGTACTTACCCTGTCAGAGTATGTACAGTACTTACCCTGTCAGAGTATGTACAGTACTTACCCTGTCAGAGTATGTACAGTACTTACCCTGTCAGAGCATGTACAGTACTTACCCTGTCAGAGTATGTACAGTACTTACCCTGTCAGAGTATGTACAGTACTTACCCTGTCAGAGCATGTACAGTACTTACCCTGTCAGAGCATGTACAGTACTTACCCTGCCAGAGTATGTACAGTACTTACCCTGTCATGTACAGTACAGTACTTACCCAGTGAGAGCATTAAGGATAAATGCTGCCATCACTGCACGTCCATGTACTTCTTTTATCTGGATCTCCTGTAATCACAACCATTACAAATTATTATTATTATATCAGTCATGCTCAAAATTTAAAATAAATAAATAAATAAACAAAATAAATAAATAAATGTACAAGCACCCCCCTGCTTACATCAACCCCAGGGGCCAGAATCAACAGCAGCACAAGACTCCCAACTCTACCATACAGTACAGTACTATATTGTACGGTGACTTTTTTTTACTGCAGTACCTCATAAATACTGTACTCAACCTCGTGTTATTTGTCTGACACATCTACTTGCAACTTTGACTAGATACATCTACATTTTCAATCAAGCATGGCAGGTATCACTAAAATCATGCACAGGCTAAGGTCGTCACAATCCACGAACAACTACTAATGAAACTTGTCAAGGGTGCTTCAGTGAGAGGCACATTTATATTTAAATCATAAGAGTTTGGGGGAGGGGGAGGAATTTAATTAATCTTTTTGTACTATACAGATCAAGTCATGTGATGAGACAAAAGCCTCAAATGACTCATAATAGTTTTTCTTTCTCATAGACAATCATTATTATATGAAAGTACAGTAGTAGAAAAAACTGATGGGAGATAAAACAGAAAAACTCAAACTTATCTTAAATTAATCAAATTATTGTACACTTGCACACATATCATCATAGTTATAACACAGAACTCCAAGGTTTAGGTGCAAAAAGAGATTTGTATGAAATCACTTTTCATTTAAAACATACATCACATAGATACAAACTTCTAATGAGGGTCCAAAGAAATTAAATTTTTGATGCATGATACTTTTTCTTTGTTTTCAGGAAATTACTGGTTGTGACATCTGAAAATCAAACTAAATTCAAGATGGAAATCCAGTTAGCACAGATGTAGAAAGACCATCACCCACTACTCAAGTAACACAAGCTACTTTACTCCATAAAACCTTCTGCCACAGCCAGCCACAAAATGTCTATTTTAGTCAAGTGATAGAAATACAAAGGGTGCATTGGTACTGGCTCCGTTGCACAAGTGTTGACTTTACCACTGTTACCCTTGTGTAATACTGTAGTTATACAAGGGCCAAGTACTGAAAATAAACTCATAAGCATCTGAAATTCTATACGAGTTACAAAATATGCCAAACAATTCTCTTATTTCATGGAATTCCATAACACAAGTGCAATTAATAGGTGTCCTCACCTGGTATTTAAAGATGCTGTCAAGTGATCGATGATTGCCAGTAAACAGATCAAGTATGGCTATCCACATGCCAAGTCCCACATAAAACACAGCCTGAAATAGGATAGCAGTTATGTAAACATTAAAATTCATATGATGTCAAGCTTGATTCTGTATGCTTTCCAACCCAATATTACCAGTACAGCACTTCAAATTTACTGGAAATACAGTACATAATTAAATATGTTACTTAGATACAGTACCGGTACATATTGTACAAATACTGTGGGAAAAAATGAGGATTTAAGTACAGTATCAACTTCATAGACAGTGCTGTGTATCACTGTGTCTACACTGAGACAAGTGACTGGGATCTGAAGTGTTGCTGCAACAAACACACAGATGGATTGGTTTGTTCTTATGTCATGCTAAGTAGCAAAACTCTCACGCCTTCACCCCATACAGGATACCTTCTTACCAAGTTACAATTACCATCTACTTTTCAAAGCGAGTCATCTGTATTTCCTGTTCTTTGAAACAAATATTTTAAAGTTTATAGTGCTTCTGTCTAACACTGACAGGTATACTGTATAAACAATGTTCATTTGAACTCCAATTTTTTATCTGCTGGCAGAGAACTACACTCCTCTACTTTCTCATACTCTACTGTACTGTATTCCTTTCTAGCCTCCTATGTTAAACCTTAATGAAAATGCAGGATAAATGAATCCATGACTGGAAGAATTAAGGGTTATCCTTACAATTACTCATAAGAAGGAGGGGAAGTAGAGTAAACATAAGGTAAAATTCAAGCGGAAATAAAGGGAAGAGAAAATTACATCATGTGAAGAACAATGTTCACAACCAAAGATGAGAAAATCAATAACATTAGAGGTCCTTCCTTTCACCCATAAAGGAAATACTTTGGCAACAAAGGCAAATTGGTCTACAGTACTCCCTGAAACATCTTTGTTGACAATGAATTATTTTAACTTATGCAGTAAAAACCTGAATGAACAAACATAATGAGACAAAACACTAAGGAGAGAGTTAGGCACTGAGTGCGCAATACTGTACAATGACAGCAACAGTGGTATACAGTTGATCTGATAGGAAGTATATCTAGCTGAACCAATAACCATACCTGCATAGTAATTATTTGTGATACAATGAGTGGCGGGTCCCATATTTTGTATCGAAAGCGTCCAGCCATTATGAACCTGAAAGAAAAAAACAGAGAATCGATTTTAATATTCCTATTTCTAGCAAAGCCTGTAGCCCAGCTACTGTTAATGTGTAAGCCAATTAGGTGTACCTGGAAGAGAAGAACACTCACTAACTGGCAGCTCAGGGCTAATATTATAATTATCACCCTTAAAATCATTTATGTAATGAAAACACAGGTCGCACTCAAAAAACAGATCTAAAACCAGCTGTCTGCTTACCCAGTATTGTAGTACTGAACACATATTGCATCCGTTGGGGTAGCCATCACGATTCAGAGACAATTCCCCATTTTGGATTTAGTTTCTGCCTGATTAACCACAAACCCAAATGAGGGACAGTGAGCCTTGTGACTTTTGGCTTAGCTACAAAACGCCTGAGTACAATACTCCATTAAAGAAAAAATATTTGAATTTTCTGGCGAAAAGGGGGTCCGGACCTCCCAGGAATGCCCTTGCTTGACATGGTACCATCTGCTAGGATGAATACTATTGTAGTGGGTCCCACTTTCTCTGAACCCGGTCTATACTTCTATACTTCAAACTTAGGTTGGATGGATATAATTATGAACGATAGGGGTTGGGTGTAAATGGGACTGCTCAGTATGGGCCAATAGGTCCACTGCAGTTTCCTCCATTCTTGTGTACTGTACATGTATACAGTAGATACAGTACAGTACTGTACTCCTTTACCTACTGGTTAAAGGTCGGGATTCAAAATGTTTAAATTCAAGTAATTAATGTTAGTTTATAACCCTTGAAATAATTCAACACATTAAGAATATTTAAAACATCAGTTACGCTGTGCCTGTAAATTTTAAATCACCTTTATATACATTTTCTCGGCACAAGGAAAACTTACATTTTGTTAAAATTTCATACAAAGATACTGCTTTACATGCTGGTTAAGGATCATGGTTTAAAATGGTAAAATTCAAGCAATTACAGTACAGCAATACCCATATACTGTGAAGAATAAAATTGTCTTATCCTTTCTTCACTGTCATCATCAATTTATGGCCAATTTCCGTACCAATAAAAAATTGTAATGAATGAGTCTTGAAACTGGATACAGAATGGCTATTTGCAGAATAATATTTGACTACAGTGCAACAAAGTTCACACCAACATTTCAAGTTAAGGTCATTCCATCATAATGGTGGTTACAGTCAAACACAACTTATTGGAATGTTTATAGATACACTGGACCTGGGTAAATATTAATCAGAGACAAAAAACAAATTGTCTGGACATACAAGGGGAGTTACCCTACAATATGAGACCAAGTTTGAAAGATTTCCATTTGTGATCTTTTCTTCAAATTTATTCAAACATTGCATAATGGACATTAATGCAACCCATGTTATCATAGCATGTAGCATTAGCCCAACAGTTCACATATTAACAGGAGCAATCTAATTGAGTGACATACTATACTGTATATGACCAATAATATAGGCTACAATATTGGTTCAAACATGTTTCCTAGTTTTTCCAATACCCTGTAGTACGTATACACAAAAAAGTCACGTAACGATACCACATTTTTTGCAATAGGGTTACTGTGCAATTTTTAATATAGAATCAGGCATTTAAGGTGTAATAAACAGGTTACAGTGTGCATTGTGGTTATCATTTAACTATATAATGTTGAAGCACAGTAACATCATGTAACTGGATGTTATAATATACTGTAAATATACTGTAGGCTAATTGCATAGTAACTGGGAATTATTGCTAATAAATATATAAAATCTAAACTTTGACCTGACCCATAAAATAGCAATACAGTACATACTGATGAAAAATAGGAAGAAAATAAATATCCAAACAAATAACGCATCGATGGGTCAGTAGTCAACATTAACCGTAAGTTCTGATATGATAATCATTTCTTGTGTATATTCTTCATTTGGTATATAATTAGGCGCCTAGGCGCGCACTATTTTGTCTTCTCGGCAGTAATGCGGAGGTGTCTCATTCTTGGATGTAAACAGGCAATCATATTGGCGTACACTGTATTTCAAAACACTCCCTGCGCCGCACTCCGACCGAGGCCTATGCTCAGTGTACTTTAGCAGCCGCACTGACCGGGCGGTTGCTGTCATGCCCACAAAAAATTTAAAATTTTACCATATCATAGTAAGTTTTTTCTATTTTATATGCCAGGGCATCTGGGGGGGGGGGGTGGGCAGAGCCCCACAGCTAGGAAGTTAGGGAAGGTTAGGTAGGTTTCTTTGATTAGGTTGGTGAGGTCTTCTAACATCACTTCAACTGTTTGTTCTTCTTATCAACTAAGTTTGGGTTAAAATTATAAATAACCATTTTTTAACACATTTGCCATAACTACGACAGTATCCACTATCAAACTCAGTGAAATTGTGGAGTTTTTATAAACGTTTTCGATTAAAATTTGCCGGTGGGTCAGTTGTCAGTAATTACGAAACTTACTGAGGAAAATATAGTAATAAAAGGCTAATATGGAGGACTTCACAGCTGACAAGTTATTTGTTTTGATGTTTATATTCTTACAATATTTTCATCATTGAGTTCTGATATAAGAATTATTTTTATGGAAATGGCTTCATTTGGTAGATAATTAGGTGACTAGGTGCGCACTACTTTGTCTTTCTCAGCATGATGCCAATCGTCTCCAATCGACACCAGTCATCAGTGTATGTTTATAAACCACAGGGATCAGATTGTTGCTCTCACATCCACAAAAAATGTAAAATTACACCATAAAATAATAAGTTCTTTCTGCTTAATACGCTGGGGGGTCCGCCCCCTGGCTAGGAAGTTAGGTAAGGTTAGATAGGTTTGTTTGGTTAGGTTGGTGGTCTTCTATCAATGCTTCTGCCACTTGTTTTTCTTATCAACTAAGGTTAAGTTAGGTTTAATTTATAAATAACCACCTTTTAACACATTTGCCATAACTACGACAGTCTCCACTATAAAACACAATGAAATTGAGCCGTTTTTAAATTTGTTTTCTATGAAAAATCAGCAGCTGAAACGTCGTAAATAATTACCAAAGGAAATAAACATCAAAACAAATAATGCGTCAGCGGGTCAGTCGTCAATATTAACCCTAAAATAATACAAGAAAAACTTATTCCTACCCATTTTTTTTTTCAGGTGAAGAAACATTTACCCTCTGTAGAAAAATGTTCACCAGTTGCTGATTATTGTACACAACTGCCATCCAGTGTTACCTTATTATCAGTGGCAACACAAGCATATGTTTACCTTTCAATTATCAGTCCGACTAATTACCCAAATGTACCCAAATGTAGCCGCAATGAAGTCAAATAATGGGCCTACATGAATAAATCGGACTGCTAATCACTTCTCGACTGGTATTTGGCGTCATAAAGTCACAAAAAATTGGTAAAATTAAGTTAATCTGAGTTGTGTTAGGTTAGGTTAGGTACATACACTCGATCTATTAACTCAGATTAAATTAAGTTTTCCAATTTTGTTTTTTACTTTGTGACACCAAATACTAGTCGAGAAGTGATTGGCAGTCCGATTTATTCATGAAGGCCCATTATTTGACTTCATTACAGCTACATTTGGGTAATTAGTCAGACCCTTCAATTATTGCCTGAGAACACACAAACCCAGAGGCTCCAGATGGACAAACAACACAAACTAACTCCTAATGAAAGTATCCAGGTAGAAACAGGATATTATGATATTAAAACTATCATTTATCCATTAGTTACAAAATTAAAGGATCAGTAGGTATTTAATTAAGAATATAATTAACATTCTTAACTATTGAATCATATCATGTTAAGTACTCCTAACCCGTCAGTACATTCTATAGCTCCGTCTTACTATCCTACTGCTTAAAAATACCTAATTTATATAACATTATGATTAAAATTAATGGTTTATTCTATATCATTGGATGTAAAGTAAGTTAGAGGGAGTAGAGTGACTTACAGTGTTAAAGGAGCCTGGCTGATGTGTCGTCACTCATCACTGTTGTTGTCATGACAGGAAACGACCCAGTAACTTAATTTCATCTTATTTAGCAGAAAAAAAAGGTTGACTGTGCGAAAATAAATAAGATAATTGTTTTTAATAATTGTAATGCAAAATTAAACCGAATACTTTTGACAAAATTTATTTAATAATATATATATGCTTGATCCCTACAGAGGTCAGGGGTCACCTTTACTCATCCTACCAGGTTTTATATTTTTTCCAGGGACACAGCTCTGCCCTTTTAGCTTCAGTTTTGTCCCTAAAAAGCTATATAGCCAAAATACCTTTTTTTTTTATCTTAATACTGAAAGGTCCTCACCTGTAACCTGATTATTTGCCTGACTTTAGCTGCCCCTTTCTTAATCTACAACCAGTGTCTCTTTTATTTGCAGATCCCTTTATGATAAAAAAATTGTTTTATGATTCATTGCTTTTATATTGTCCCCTTCATAACTAATTTTTTTTACCCCCCCCCACCCAAAAAAAATTCCATCTGTTTATGTTTTGAGTTGCCTACATATATTTTTTTTTCACATTGGAAGCAGTCACTGATTACATTGTTACTGCATTAATTCTACTCTATGTTCTTCAAACCTTTCCACTTTATCTGTTGGCCAAGTTTAGTAATGTCGTCTGATATTAGCCAAATTTAATATTTTTTAAGTGTCCCCCATAAAGTATAAGGCCTTATCTGTCTGACTCTAAATCAGATAACTGGCAAGTTCATTATATTTACAGACACTACAGTTGCCTGCCTGCCGGTCAAGATAATATCTCCATCAGTGTTGCTCATTTCTTCCTGACATCTTAAAGTTTATTGTTTTAATGTACCGTACAGTATCAATTTTTTTCTTAGAAATTAAAAAAAAAATAGATTTGCACATTTGCTAATAATATAAATAAAACAGTATGTCATCCTTTCCTTTCATTAACTAACAAGTATATCCAGAGGCCTAACACCCTGTGTGAAAAAGTATTTCCAGAAAGAATATAAAGAAATACTTTTTTACACAGAGGGTGGTAGACCTATGGAATGGGCTACCAGCCTAAGCTGTGAAAGCAAGAACATTACTGGCACATTACATTTTATTCAAGTAACAGCAACGTACAGGTAATTTAACCTGTAGTATAGCAGAGGACTACAATTTGAGATTATAGTACAGTCCATAATACAACTGTCTTTTTCGAGTTACTGTATTAAGTACAGTACTGTAAATACTTTATGAGGGAATATACAATACTCAAGGAATATTTTATATGGCATTTAATTTTATATACTATACTGTACAGTATATACAGGGAGTATATATATATATATATATATATATATATATATATATATATATATATATATATATATATATATATATATATATATATATATATATATAAATATATATATATATACACACACTTTACATTTGCAAACTTGTACAAAGTTCACATACTGTATAATATAATGGTAACAAATACAGTATATCTTATCCTGTATATTAATTACAAACATGCATAATATATTGCAAGAAATTAAATGTCTTCTTTATATCTACTATTTCAGGTTTACAAGAGAATCCATTTATTGTTTCTTAGCATACAATAAATAATTAACAAGGCACAGTCGGGCAGTAAAGCAAGTACAGTATGTCTAACATCTATCTTTATGCTGGATATGTCATTATTAGTACTGAAGAAAAAGATGTATCATTCACTCTTTTCATTGCCTAATAATGAGTTATTCTATTTGACTACAGTACATACAGTACAGTATTATCAAAAGTACTGCAGTACAGTATTACCAAATTCGTAAACAGTTGAAAAGATTCTGGCACAATATTATTATTTTATATGTTCTATAAAATCTATCATTATAGAAAAGTCAAACCTAACATATTTAAGTCTTAACATTTTTATCTTTTAATGGCTCTGTAACTCAATTGGTACACCAGCCCAGCCCTCCTTGACTTGAATATAAACAAGTACATTGTTGAGTGCACTTGCTGATGGTATTACAATACAATCATAAGTGGATCCTGTTTGGTTCCCCTGCATCATTACAGGTAGAGGCTTGTGCAAGTATCCATCCTCCATTAGATAGCAATTCATAAGTCTGTGAGGTCTTCAACTATCACATTTTCATCAAGTTAATTAAAGGCTCATTTGAAATTTCTGCATGCTGACATATGGTGGAGCTTGTTTGTTGCTACCACCTTTATGAACAGCCAGACGACATCTCATTTTGGGAAGTAAGTTCTTTTTTTATAATGTGCTGTACATACATAACATTATTTCCTTTTTATAACAAGTTATTAATAAGGGCATGAAGGAAATTACTTCTACAAGGAAACATACCTATGATCTATTTTGGCCTAAAGTTAACATAACTAAATTTTTTCCATAAGTTCAGTTTATTAGTTAACAATTTAGAGCAGGAGTTCCCAAACCTTTTCTAGTGCTACCCCATCTAGTACTGGACATCGCCTATCTGGTGCGACCCCAAGGCTCATGAGCCTGTGTGGGAGCACTGCGAGTCAGCCCCACATGTCCAAAGCGTCTCCTCTCCCTTGTTTGGGCTTAACCATTGCCCATGCTGCAGCATCTCTCGTGTTGTGCTCAAAACTTTAGCTTATTTTGTGTTAAATTGATCCCAAAAGACTGCATAGTGCTAGTGATGCTAGTGCAGTGAAACATAAAAGGCAAAAGTCAGTGATGACTCTTACCATAAAAATACAATTATTAGATACGTTAAAGGAAGGAATGAGCGACACTGCGGTTGGCCAGTTGTTTGGTGTGAACGAATCCACGGTGCGGTGCGGTACATTAAGAAGAAAGAACAAGTGATTCGTGACTCTCTTGCAGCGAGTCCTCCTACGAGTGCTAAAGTAGTGCACTGTCATATTTCATATGTGACGTGTGCATAATCATTTAATACATTTTCTGTTAACTGAGGGTATGTTTGTGTGATTAAACAAAATAGCATACAATTTTCTAAGTTGAAGTTTGATATATAGTCAAGGTAAAATTTTTTTTATAAACACCACTGATGAGAAAGCTGCCTCACAGACATAGGTGCTTCCAAATTGTACAAGATTTTTAACCAATGAGTGCCTCTTTGATAAAGTAATCCCAAACATTGATAAGTCATCATAGACATTAAAATTTACCTTTGCCTCATTGTTCTGCCTGTAATTTTGCCATTTTGAGCACAAAAGAGTCACACTGTTTTACATCTGTCTTGAATGGAAATTGAACAAAATCAAAGGACTCAGTAAGCAACTCTGGAAATCTATCACTGAATTTGCTGCCATTTTCTGTCTGCATCCGTGGGAAGTAGAGAGTAAACTGAGCTGAGAACAGTTAAAAGGTAGGAGTGTGGAACTTCTGTTGTGAAACATGTCATCGGGGCAAGCCTAACCTAACACAAGGAGAGTAACTGCATTAATCCTTTGACCATAATTTATGTTCCTGACTTAAAAAAAAAAGTAACCGCTACAAGACCAAGGTATCTTAGCGACCCCATGAGCTACATGGGAGCCCAGCATCCGTATTTTATTATTATTTTTTTTTACGAAGATTAGCCCACCTGGGTACAGGTCACCGACCCACAACAGGGCCTGGGGGGCCAAAATGTAATAATAATAATAATAATAATAATAATAATAATAATAATAATAATAATAATCATAATCATCATAATCATAATCATAATTAATAATAATAATAATAATAATAATAATAATAATTCATAGGAAATAAATTCGAGAATAAAAATAAAATAATAAAATAATAATGATAATAATAATTATAATAGTAATAAAGAACTATAAAGAAATAAAAAAATTAAAATACGTAGTGAGAAACAATACATGTATGTTGTGTTGTTAAAGTAAGAGAAACAATTGAGACCCTGCAATTGTATGTAAATGAGGCAGAAAGTCAGATAAGCAACCTGGGACTTGGTCACAATTTTTGTGATGCCATATGGCAGCAGGGTCTACCATTAGACAATACATTATGTTTCCAATATCTTCCCAGGCGGTAGTACCTCTCTGTTTGGTAGCTGCCTACGATGCATTTTGCAACCCCATTTAGGGTTGCAAACCCATGTTTGAGAAACACTGATTTATAGAGTTACCAAGGTGTTTTCGAACGTATCCTCGTTAACTTAAAAGGGATATCTGAATATAAGAAAATTATATTTGTGATCAAATATTGGTAGTATCTCTCCACCCTTGAGCAAAGAAAGCACATTCATAAAAGAAAGGTTTTAAAAAAGAAAATGGGTTCCATTCAGCACATGATCTAGCCAAACTGCATCAGCACACAAAATTTAACAAGGATAAGTAAAGTGAGTAAAAAGACATTCTAGGATGTGTGGGAAAATAATGCTAAAATAAAGTGTGTTTACCATCTGAAAATATACAGTACAGCGCTGTACCTAAGAAAAAGGGGGGGATGGGAGTTCTTCACCAAAAATGTTATTTTTTCAAGACTCCTCCAAAAATTCATTAAGTACAACAGATTACTCCTAAACCCTTTGATGGGTTTGCTTGTGTGGTCAGTGTCCTGGGGCAGCAGCCACAACAAATAAAACTGCAGGGACTATGGTGTAACCCTTTCAAATTTTCTCCCGAGCCACTAGGCCAGAGCTTCATAACAAATACTGTCTCCCCACCATCTAAACATACATGTACTGTGGACAATAAATTTATTAATATAAAGGATCAGTCATACCCAGATAGTGACTGGGGACACATCATTCAATATTTTGGAGATATTAAGTCCTAGTATCTGTTATAAGTGAGATATATTCAGATAACAATGTGCCACTGTTATCCAAAGTAGATATACTGTACCGAGACAGAATATTTCAAGATCAGCAGCAAAATGTACGATATAGAAGTGTGTCAAGATATTTTTGAGATGAGAATTGATTCCATTACAAGTGGAAAAGACAGAGAATTACAAAAGGATGATTTAGAATGAATATAAGATAGAATGCTTTTTGTAATAGAGTTGCAGACAACTGAAACAATCTGATCCTGGCAACAGTAGTTAACTCCAAATAAGTAATACAATTTGAAAATGGCTGGACATTACTTAGCACACACAGCATCAAATATACAGAAGGTATCGTACAAAGTTAAAACTGAGTATTATAACACAGGAATGAACACCAGTCACAATCACAAATATCAGGAGATGGTGCCACAGGCTGAAGAGCCTCTACCAGAAGATCTTGTGTGAGAAGAGTCCAAGGACAATAGACCCATATCATAATTTATATACAGCATACTGGTAAATCACACATACAGAAACCTTAAATGAGTTTTATTTGGGATTATATTAGTAGCAATGTGAAGAAAACTCCACAGTTGACCTCCAATTCTACACAAGGTTGTTGTATCCTAAGGGTTCATGAAAATTCAGAATTACCAAAAATATAGTATTAAAACATGTCAAGTTTCTGGCCATCAGTGAGATCTTCCATATACCTTATTACTGCCCATATACAGCATCAACTGTACACTAAAATGCTTAATGATTTATAAATGATTTATAATAGAGCTTTACTAATAAGCTGGCTTATTATTCTATTTGCTGTAACTGGAATGCCTCAAACAGGCCATCTCAACTGAGGAACTCATTTTGACTTAGTCTAGATAATATTGTACAAAATACAAATTCATTATAAGTTTTAACAAAATATATCTTCATTAACACACCAAAGTTATCATTTAAACAAGTTTTTGTTACCTTGACCTGTATGATAGTGACTCAGGTTTGATGTTCTACACTTTACACTGTATTTATACAAACTCATATAACAATAACTGCAGTAATACAAGAGTTCACAATACTGTACCTTAATGTTTAATCATCAGACATGACTTGGATATAGTTATCTGATATTGGAGTTTACTTTGTTTGGTGATCACACTGTATAAACCCATTTGGAGTCTTGTCAAAATACAGTAGTACCTCGATACTGTACACCGGACAAATTGGGACAGACCCCAGTCTGGAAAATGTGAAATTCCAAATATATGGGGGGAGGGGGGTGGCAAAAACAATGGTTGTCTGGACTGTTTAAAGAAAATCAGTTGGTGTTATAAAATGTTATTACTGTGCTTCAACAACCAAAGTCTTTAAGTACATAACAAGGTTTACAAACTGTAAAGTGTTATATGTAAGTAAACACAGAATTTTACTTATGAATAAAGAAAAAATTGTAGTACTGTACTGTACAGTACAGTACTACAAAGATAAAAAGATTAAAATAAGAAAAATAATAAGAGTGTAGGGGTATACTGTATGTGGGAGATGAGAGCAGCAGGCGACCCCTCTCTACCAAGATCCCTTTAACATAACTTACTGCAATTTCATTTGGTGTCAGGTTGATAAAATATTACCATAAAATAATCACCTTTCCTGAAAAAAGAATACCATACTCAAAACCATGACCCAATTGTTTACAAAGGGCAAACAGCTGCTCGGCCTAGCTCCCTCTCACCACTCATGCTTACCACAACATGTGTCTTTAGCACTTAGTAAGTACTGTAGTGTATTTATCACCACTTAATAAATACTATTATTGTATATTTATCAGCACTTAATAAAAATGTAGTGTATTATGCATCTGCATATACCCTGGTATATTCATTAATCAGTTGTCTAAGTTGTACAAGTAGCCAAATTGAGCCAACATGTATCACTCAAAGGTAGTAAATAGCATTGTTAGGAAAGTAACTCCATAGCAAATACTTTACAGTACAGTATGTCATAGTGACCCTGTTGTAAGCTAATTTGCTGAAAGCTCTCACATTAACGCATCCTGAGTGAATACCTTCCGACACAGCTTATCCTTTTATTTTCAAGTCAACTTATAAATTACATATATTGTATTTTTTCCTCAATTATTGAAGAGATTATATTACACACGATGAACCATACACCAAAAGAGGTTGATCATACAAGCATATAATACTGAATCAATAAATAAACCTGACGAATGCAGCAATGCCCGTTCAGCCACCTCTCCTTCACAAACCCCAGCCTGCTTACATACACAGTGTCTTACCTTTTGTAATACCTACAGCAAATCTGATTAGACCACTGTACAATATTTAGTGAGCAAGTGTTATTCTTTTCAAAAGAGTTTTAATTTTTTTAATTTTATATATTTATTAAAATATGTACAGTATTTTACATTATTTTAACCCATTTCTTAAAACCCTCAAGTATCCCTGTTAAAGATACTACATATACTATATATAAAAAGTTCATGTAAATGAGTGTAGGCAGCGAGGTGCGACACACTGACACGAGTCATATGAAAGCAGGACTTGGAATGAGGCAAATGCAGTGCGACAGCCAAGCACAGACATTCAGCCACATGTATGAGTACACAAACTGGTCCGGAATGATGCTGGATTTTCCGGACGTTTACAAATATTTTTGGTGAATAGAGGAGCACCTCAAGAGAGTCCGAAAAAAGCTAAATCCGGTGTACTATAAACAGGTTCTATTGTATCTGCATAACACTCCATACAATGTTGTGAACACTGATATGGAGACTTGACTTTAGTAGGAAGTATAATGTCTGCTTCAAAACAGATAGTTGTACTAGCTGGATGTCCATTGTCTAGTTATACTCTGTTTTCAGTTGGAGAGAGAAAAACATTCTATATAAATTCATTTTGTAGTGATTTATCATAATAAATGCTTCTGCATGTCTGAGATTTTAAGTGTACCGTATATACAATTTGGAAAAAAAAAATATTCCATTTCCCTTCTCTTCTATGCTACGGTCACAAGGTAGAGGAGTCCTGTACATTTGTAAACACTTCCATGGATGGTTGCTTTAAAAGAGACTTCTGCAGAGAGGACAGGTTGAGTTGTTGCTGCTGTTGAACCATTTGTACTGTATAAAGAAAAGATTATTTGGTATACTGTATATGACATTAAAAGTTGTGGGTTTATCTAAAATTAATTAAAATTTTGAAATATTTTCTCCAAACACTGATAACGAAAGAATGTAATTTTCTATCCTAATCTATTCATGCAGTACTTGAAGAACAAATTAATACCTAATCACAAATTCCTTCTGGTAAACACTCACATATATGCAGCAGCAATGTTCAAACAACATGCTGCAATATTTCTCTAATATGTTTAACATAATAATCCACATGAGGAGGAACAGAAAGATATAGGCTTGTAAGCAGGTGCTACGACACAGACCACAAGTCTCTACATTCCTCTTAACAGCAAGCGAGAATCTTTCTCTTAACTGTTTTTTTCATGAGGTATAAAAATTACAACAATCAACTGTGATAAATTGTCAAAAAAGAAAACATATATACTGTAATACTCTAAAATATCTCCATTCATATTCTTACCAAACAAGCCGAGTGGAATTTCTTCTTGCATGTCCGGCAGAGAAGTTTTGGCAGCTGGTGGTTTGTCCCATGCAGGACGTAGTAACAAATGTAGCATTCCTCAATGCCTTCAAACTTCTGGTCAACATTTTCCTTCCAAAACACTAATGACTGTAACAAGGGTGTGTTGCGGTATGACAGCATTGTGTTCATCTGAAAGATAACTTTTCTTTTTATTGTGGAATGATTATTCTTGGAATATAATCATTGTCAGTTAAGAACCTGATGAGAGTGACTGCAAGAGACTGTGCAGCATGGAGAGCTGTCACCAGGTAATCACGGCTAACGGGCACAAGTGTGAAAAAAGGCCGTAAAAATTTTATGATAATGATGCACCAACTTTTGTGTTAGAAATCAAGAGGTAAAGTAACATCAATAAAGGAGATAACTAACATGGTGAAAGGTGCAAAAACAGTTAATAATACGGCAATTAGAAATATCCACAAGCACTGGTTCATATCCTTGACATAAATATGCAGTACAGTACAAAAAGAGGTCAATGGCATCAAGATCGATTCATGAAGCTTTATATGAATTCTTATAATTTTGTACCGATGTCTTATTATTTTTTTACAGAAAGAAAAGATTTCATCGCTAACAACCTTAATCCCCATTATACTTCAAATTACACATTCAACCCTGCTTCCTGCTATCCTTGATGACAGAAGGTAGCATAACTGTCTTTCTTTCAATACCATCTCTCCTGTTTAGGTCAGCCAAACTTAAGTTCTCCAAACCAAAATCTGTTCTGGCCTAAACTTTCACTGCCCCAAATTCTACCATTACTTGCTGCACCTTCTGTTCCCCCAACCAAAGTGCAAAGTTGACATTAGTCTCATTACTCATAGCCAGTACCTTTTAGCTCAGGCTGGTAACTTATTCAAATGTAAGTTTTATAATATTGCAAATACTGTACAGTATCCTGCATTACAGGAAGAGTTTATATCTGAAATTTTCTATTCCCGGGTATAAAAGATTAATTATGAAAAATTTATCTCACCCCAAGAAGCCAGTTTCGCCACTGAGCAAGTGAAACTCCAATCCTATGATGGTCTTCCACAGTGACTGTGGAAAGTGGGTGATTTGGGGCTACACGGAGAATCAGCTCCATGGTAGCTTCATCTATGGTATATGTGGCCACCACTTCCCTCCCTACTGGTCGACCTTTCACCTGTAATAAAAGGTCAAGGTCAATTTTTTTATAACATGCACATGCATTTATGTACAGGTATCCCTCACTATTTGAATGACCTAGGTTCCTGAAAATCAATTTGTTAGGTGAATTTTTGTGCAGTGGTCCCTCGGTTAACAAACACAATTCATTCCAGAAGGTTGTTTGTTAACCGAAAATTTTGTTAACCGAAACCATTGTTTCAATGGGTTTTTGGGTAATTGGTTCCAGCTCACCGAAAATTACATAAAGTAAAAAAATAAAGCAGTAAAGTACACTTACTTTGAGGTGTGTATGTAGAAGGCTCCTGGATGATGATGCTGATGTGAATTTGAAGTGGGAGGTGGAGGAGGAGAAGGAAGTGGGATGGAGAAGAAGCATTTTACTGCTTCTTGGAAGGTGAGTCACCTTCCATGAAAATGTCAGGAGCCTCTGGACTGACAGATTCTCCAGCAGGAACATCCTCTCTCCTTCTTGAAGTGGAAGGCTGAGGGGTAGCATATTTTTCCAGCTGCCTTTTAGTGAAGAAACTGCCAATTTTTGTTTGTGGGGCATTTCTCCTCCTCATCATTAACTGATTTTTGAAGGAGACCACTCTGTCCTCAACATTACACAAAATAGGTTCTGTTGTTTCCACATCTGGGTGCCTTGAAGCCAGTTTCCTGAACTTCTCCCAGTAGTGAACAACATCTTTCAAATCTGAAGTAGAAATATGGTCATCACTTTCCTTTTCCTCCTCACCACTGTCAGCCTCTAACATCTCATCCAGTTGCTGCAAGTCTTCAGGAGTAAGTTCCTCCTCATGAGACATCACAAGCTCTTCCACATCCTCCTCCTCCACTTCGAGGCCCATTGACACGATCTCCTTGTCCAACTCTGCTTCTTCCTCAAATCCCTCAAAATCATGGACTGCTGATGGCCACAGTGCTTTCCATGCAGAATTGAGGGATCTAATGGAGACTTCTCGCCATGAGGACACAATCAATTTTACAGCCTCCAGGATGTTAAATTGTGTCTTCCAGACCTGTGCCAGTGTTAGTTCAGGATCAATGGAAGTTGCCTGATAACACCTCCTGAACATATTCTTCATGTACAGCTTCTTAAAGTTGCTGATCACATTCTGGTCCATTGGCTGCATGATTGATGTAGTGTTGGGAGGCAAAAACAACACTTTGACAAAGTCAAATTGAGCCTCCAAAGTGCTGGCAAGTTCAGGGTCATGACCAGGGGCATTATCCAAAAGGAGAAGAGCCTTTAAAGGGAGTTTATTGGTGGTTAGGTAGCTCTTCACAGAAGGGCAAAACACCTCAACAGCCCATTCGTTAAAAGAGCTGTCTTGTCACCCATGCCTTACGGTTGGACTTCCAATAAACTCCAAGCCGTCCTCTTACTGGGGTTCTCAGTGGTAGACAAACATAGGCTTCAGTCGGAAATCCCCTGAAGCATTGACACCAAGCAATAGTGTGAGACAGTGTTTCATGGGTTTATGCCCAGGTAAAGAGGCTTCATCTTTAGTGAGGTACTTTTGAGGCCATTAATCCTCACGAGAACACCGTGCCAAGCAAGAGTGAATAAAAAGAGTACACAAAGGCCAAATCACTCAAACAAACAGCAGGAATGTGGATTTACGCAGTCAAAATGGCTGCCTGAACAGCTGACTGGTGCTTTGCTCTCTGTAAATACTCACCAATAATATTCACTAGTAGTATTAAGCGAGACTTATTAGCTGTGATTGCATCTAAATTTAAACTCTCGCCAAAAGTGAGGGTTTGGTCGCCAAAATGGAGGGCAGGGTACTTTGAATTTTGACCGCCAACTTCAAATTCGCCAAACAGAAAGTCACCAAACTGGAGGGTTTACTGTACAGTATTAAACTAATAATTTTAAAGGTCATATAATAAAAGTTCCTATACATCCAAGGATCAAGAACACTTACAGTCATGTTATCAAACTTCACAGATGATTTGTTTATAGCCGACATTTCTTGATTAATTAGTATAGGAGACACATAGGTAGTGGTAAAAGCATCAACAATGGGCTGACGTTGACGATCCAGACTTATAAACCATTGTCTGACTGCGGCTGGGATGCGGCTGACACAATCATAATACACCTTACACGCTAGATGGGCCACCATCCTAGATGTAACATTTGCTGTTGACAAAGATAATACATCAGATGCTGCAGGGAGAGATCAGACACAGCATAAGTTACAGCATCTATAAAAAATTCTCAGTGTTATATCAGTTATTGAATATGGAATGAGGTAATGTATAACATACCAAAGGGAGTGATGTAGAGGCGACTGTTGAATTTAGTTAATGGTGTCTTACAGGTAAAATCTGGAGGCAGCTCCAAATTCATTATATCATCTTCGTGATCAATCACAGGATGTGGAGGCATCAGCTTGAAGAGATTTTGTAGAAGACTTTGGAGTAAGTTAGTCTGCCTGTAAAAGCATGATAAACTTTAAGTTAACCTCTTCCTAAAACTGCTTATGACAAGCACTCTTCCACAGTTAACTGAAACTTTATCCTGTATAATGATCTTTGCTTTTGCGTCTCCTGCCTCCGTCATCCCTTTCACTGAGCTTCATAAAATATTTTAACTTTCATTCCACATTATTGCACGGTGCTGAAAAACTTCAAAATTATAAATAAGTAAATAAATAAATAAATAATTTGATCCTTGGCATTAAAAAATTAAGATCATAAAATAAATCATATACAGTAAGCCTGCTCAATGGACACAGTTCAAGTCTGCTCATCAACATACGTTTTTTAAATACTGTACAGTGGAGTCTGCATTTACGCGGTCAATTGAACCCGTGGAGGCCCGCGTAAAACGAGAAACGCGTAAATGAAATAACAGAACATATGGGATTAATTGAAATACGTAAAGACTGGGCCGACCCCCCAAACTCCACTTTTTCCGACACAATACTTACGTTGTAGTAAAAATAACATCTTAATTTCATGATGATATGCACACAATTAATATTTAAGAGAAATACAGTCCCCCGGTTAATGTCCATTCAAATAATGAACTCAACTCCCCCCCCCCTCCTCTACCCACGCTCGCTGGGTCCTTCCCTCCCTACCCCTCACCTTCCATCCCTACCAGAGAAATGTTTGGGTGAAAACAGTACAGCGAAGTTCTGCTATAACGCGTGTTTTGACAACGCGAATTTGCTCGAACGCGATTTATGAATTGAGGAACGATATTTGTAAAACGCGAACTCGTTTGCTCTAACGCGATTCCACTCGAGATTCAATTGATTTATGTGTTTTTGTTTGTGAAAATTGCAGAAATAATTTATGTAATATTTATGTATACAGTAAACCACTCACAGGTCTCTAGTACCATAATTATTTTATATACTAGAGCTTCACGTTTGGTAAGCTGGATTAAAATAGAAGATTACCGGTATTAAATAATAAAATGTATAAACCAGTCTAACATGCATAATAAAGCACAGCTGCTATTATCATCACCCCCACCCCCATTTGCCAGTAACAAGAAAGGAAAGTGACCTTGACTGTGACCGCCTGTGTATTTTTAGCCATCCTTGTGTTCGGAGGTGGTCAGTAATGCATATCTGTATATTTTGGTCATAATACTTATCTCTTATAAATAATTCATTTAAAATGTATTTTTGCAAAGAATATTCAGTAAATGACTGCATTAATTCTTGGGAAGCACCGACAGTGGTAAATTTAGGATATAAATAATGAACAGAAGTCCGTCATGGATTAGTTTGGTCGCCAACGATGCACCATAAATGTAGCCTCCTTTTTACATGAAACAAGATATAAATTAAAGAAAATACTTGCAGTATATTTAATATATGACAGTATATTATATATAAATAAATAAACAAATAGAATTCAAATTCATATCATCCTGTGTCATATACCAAAAATACTTGAGTCCCTGAGCAGAGTACACAAAAAACGGACATCCTGGAGTGGATAGGGGCAGACATCTCTACTGGGGACCTCAGAGCGTTTCTCTCATGTTTTTGTGGGCGCTCTAGCATAATATGAATAATATGAAATTACAATTTATATATATATATATATATATATATATATATATATATATATATATATATATATATATATATATATATATATATATATATATATATATATATATATATATATATATATATATCTTGATAAATCACCGCAGGAAAATGGAAACAGCGAATTACCTTGGCTTTCGTCTTTATTCAAGACATCTTCCAGAGAGGCAACTGGGTTACATGGACAGAAGAGGCTTAAATATACAGGGTGACCTAAAATATAGGTCAAGGTCCATAATGATGACATCACTAATCCGCTTTTACCAACACACACGTGAGGCTTAAGAGAAGGGTGTGGTGATGTATTCGACAGAATCGGAGTCAGAAAAAAGGGCACAAATATCATACATCAAGATCAAAAGGTTTTTTCAAAGCATTTTAACCTTGGGCCGCACTGACAAATAAATTTATGTAACATATTATCAGTTTTGAACTGACCATCATAAATTTATTTGTCGGTAATCAATTGCCTAAATTGTGGATTTACAGAATATATATATATATATATATATATATATATATATATATATATATATATATATATATATATATATATATATATATATATATATATATATATATATATATATATATATATATATATATATATATATATATATATATATATATATATATATATATATATATATATATATATATATATATATATGAAATTGTAAAATTTAAAGAAAGAGAAAAACTAAATCGTGCGTTTAAAGTGTACATGCAGTGTTTGTGTGGCTTGGCTCAATGTTTGATTCACGTTCATTTATCCTTATTCAATTGATTTATGTGTTTGTTTGTGAAAAATACCTGTACAGTATATGTAAGTTATAAATTTAAATAAGAGAAAAAAAACAAAAATAAGTAGCGTTTAAAGTGTGCACTGTACATTGTGGCAGTGCGGGGTTATGCAGTGTTTACAGTTCGTTAGGCATCACATGTTCGAATTGATTTATGTGTTTTGTTTGTGAAGAATTGCAGAAATAATTTATGTAATATTTGTGTATACAGTATACTACCTGTACAGTATATGTAAAATGTAAACTTTTAAATAAAAACAAAATACATAGCGTTTTTAGACCCGAGCGCTCTGTTTACTCCACACTTTATTTTGGCTACGTGTAGAGATTTTTAAAATGTCCTCAGTGAATTCTGATTACTGTTTGCAATTTTGTGACTATGGAAAAGAATATCTCTGGGAAGCACTCTGGTGATCGCATTTTCAGTGGTGATCGTAAAAGAAAGGCTATAACACTTGAAGAAAAGCGATGTTTCATGACTCCTCCAGCCTCAACATCACCCTTATCCCCCATCAAAGTTATATTCATATTTTTCAAGGTAAGTCTTAACATTTACTGTGTATGATTTCATTATTAGATATGAATGCCAACATTTATTTTAGACTTGTGCTTTATCCTTTGTGTTAGGCTAACTACGAAATTTTTTTAGGTTGGGTAATCTGCACCTAACCTATTTCTCCATAAGCCCTGTTATTTCTATTGCAATTTCTATAACCACGATGTGTTACAAGAACACTACTATCGCGTTATAGCAGAGACTAGTAGGCTTACATTTTTAGTAATAAATAATACTTCAGACTAAAGTTAGGATAATATAATTGACATTGCTGGATTCCGTGCAAGACCAGGAATATTTTGAATATAAACGTCATATATTTTGTACAAAAGATAAAATTTTTGCTCTTTCTAATCAAAATTCTTACATTAGATCTAAAATTTGGATGTCTAATGCAAATTCCATGATGTTAATATTTAAAATAATCACAATCTTATAAGAATTCAAGCAATGTACTGTAAATTATATTCTGGCCGGGTAATTTGTATGAATTTTATGAGCTAAAACAAATATCTTCAGTAAATACAGTAAACAAATTATACTTCACCCGCGTAAATGACCAAATTTACCGCGGAATTAAAGCATTTCATTCTGGCAAGGTACCGCGTAAACAAAAGCCTTGTAAATACAGACTCCACTGTAATGGAAATACAATACAGCACAGGTACAGAGGAATAGATGCCATCATGTTAAGGAGTGTAGGGCAGGAACTGTCTGAGATGTCAAAAAACAAAAGAGGATGTTGCAATGTTGAGTGATGAAACATGGAGAAAACTGATGGAATAAAAGGGGGCCAGTTTCAGAACATTAAGATTTAAGGGTTGGGCTAAATGTGGGAAATAGAAGATGGGTTAGTGTGAATGTTATGTGTCAAAGAGTTGAGAAATAAAGAGAGTAAGTTTGATATGAGGCAATACCATATATGTTTTGAAAATTCAAGAGAAATCCATATGCATACATTGAGTTATGGCAGTGGAGGAAACAAAGGATCATTATACTCTGTACTGTACTAGCAGGCAGAAGACTGAAATGCAAAATGAAAGCCATGAATATTGTAACTGGAGCAGTGAATAGTGACTGTATATTAGTTGGTTAAAACAAGACTAATATCTACTGGAAGGTTCACAACAGGGAAGACTCACAAGACATGAGAAAAAGGTCATCAAATTCCACAAGTTGAGGAATAAAAATGTGGTAGAAAGAATAAAGGAAAAAGGTCTCATGCAAATGGAAAAGGAGGAGGTTATGTGAGATAGAGAGAAGAGTATCAAAAGAATGAGAGATTATACACATATACAGAAACCATGTATGAAGACAGAGATAAGTAAACAATTTACTCCTCTGGATTGGTAGTCAGGCAGCTAGTCAACTGGACCACAATGGGCTAAAAGCTACCTTAGAGAGTTGGGGTAGCCCGCCCACACCCTTGTCCCAGAGAAGTAAATTGTTTATATTGATTTACTAGTATATGTTACAGGTTCTGATTTCGATATAAGAATGAATTAGCTACAGAGAAATACCTGGGAAAGTATAGGGTAGAGTCAATCATTATTAACTTTTGCAAAAACTGAGAGCATGATGGGCACAGCAAAGGAAAAAGATGTGTCAGTCAAGATTTTACATAAAAGAACAGAAGTAAAAGTTTATGGAAAGAAAAACATATTTGTTTGTAGCTTTTATGGAAAATTGAAAAGGCAGGAGAAAATGGATAAAAAAGTGTTGTGGGGTTACTACCATGTATGAATGAATGGGAAATTGTCAGATTATGCCAGTAAGAGGATAATTGACTCCCTGTGTATTAACCCAATAACTGCCACATACATTCTCGAATGATAAGCGGTGGAGTGCTACATACATTCTGGAATTCAGAACATTTTGAATGCAGCGCAGGAAAAATTTCATATTTTGAGGGGACAAGTATGGGATGTTTACACTTGCCAGTTGTCCCAGTGGGTAATCCTCCCACCCACGCTGCTGATGACACAAACATATCTCAGTCACAATGGAGTCAAAACGTGCATGCTAGTCCCACCAGCCACAAACCCACTGACTTCATAAATTCACCATGGCCAAGCTAAGGTAAGTAATGGGCTCATATTTGGTTTCCATATTCTTCTACATACTATCTTTTAAGTCACAAGAGTTAAAATGATGTTAGAGAAAATTGATGTGTTTTGTGAATTAGGGGGTTCATTGGCGAATCACCCCACCGCAGTTATCAGGTTAAAGGAAAGTTACTGAAATAAACAGCATAGGGTAATACAAATCATCCGACAGGAAACTAACTGAAGATAGGCCGAGTACTGGTGCTGGTTGGCGTCTGAAGCGTAAGTGATGGCGGTTACAGTTAACTTCCAGGCCAGTAAGTAACCTGCGATGTAGGTTGAACTCTTGGTGTCAGGCTGTACCACAAAACCATCACCCATTTCTGTGTCTGCCAACGTTTGTTCCACAATTTTGCTACACTGTCAAAGGCAATAGAAAATGTTGTTATCACTACTTAAAGAAAGTTTCATGACAATAACAATGTTCATACTCAGTGTATTTAAGGAAAGCAAGTTCTGCTGCACTGCATTGGTATTTTTCGCTAAAGCAGATTTTTAGCGGTCTTAGATTTAAAGATTGACATTTCATTCTATCCTTAAAAAATACTGCAAGTGTTGGGTTAAAGAACAAATACTGAAGTGAAATGGTCAGACTGTGAATAATGATAAATAGGAATGACTTTGAAGTCAACTATTAAATAGAGGCCAAGTTTACTTAAAACATGACCCATTTCATAACCAGTTCAGTAACATTTGCAAATTTGTTTTTATTTTATTTTATTATACACTAATCTATTGGTAAATTACCTGGTAAACACTACACGCTCTAAAGGGAAACAAAAGGTTTAAGTTATAAGAGAGAGATGTTCCAATAGAAGAAAGACACAAGAAATGGCAGACTGTGTTTACATCTTTGATGATGTTGATCATGGAGTATGGTAGTGGCCTTTGTGGAGTGTCCTCTTCTTCATTTATTGCAATTTGGTTCATCTCCCACTGGGCCATGACTTTTGGCAGGGCAGCACTCAGTAACATATAAGCTGTACATTGTGGTGCAGCGTGTGATGACATCAGTAGTGGGGTCAGGTGATTCAGCAGTATCTGAAAAAAGGTCAATCAGAGAAACACAACTTAGTGAACGTAATTCTTTATTCATTAAGTCATGTGTGTCTGCCATCTTTATGCTACAGTATTACAAATCTTAATACAGACATATGATACTGTGATCCCAATCATCCGCCAGAGCTAATATTATTTTAATTCTTGAGTGACGTAGTAATAATTACAGTCCAGATATATTTAACTGCAAGATACAAACAAAAATATGGACTACTACACAACACTGAATAATCATGGCCAATCATAATTAAATTCTTACATTACAATACTTCTCTTCCTTTCCTTTACAGATCCTGTATCATATTGTAAAGAGCATAATATAAAGGAATTATATTTAAGGTTCCTTTACATTAAATTCTGTAAAACTAAAAAACTGCTTTTCTAGGACATACCTGTTCAGAATCTGGCAGCTTCATTTCTTCTTCTGCAAGTGTAGCATTGTAGATGGGAGGGAGAGAGTGGTTGGCTAAGTCATCTGAGCTTGCATAACACACACCAAAACAAACTGCACGACACACCCCATACAGGATGACGGATGGATTTCTTCTGTAAGATGCTAAAGAAACAAAAAAATAAATCGTGAAAACAGAGTAAAATAAATGTCTAAAGAAAAACATAATATTACAAGATGATTATGAATTGCTGAACACCCCTAGAAACTATTTACAGTACTATACTGTGCTATCAATTTAAACACAATAAATTCTGGATAAAACCAAATAAAAATCCTGTACAGTAAACATCCTCTAATCCCAAACGAATGGCAGGAGGGGTGGGGGGAGGCTGTCTGGTTTGGCCGAAATCTTGGGTTGGGCGGGGATCTATATTTCCGACTCAAGCTGTCTAAGAACATCAAAGTTACTGTAATTTTTAGCCTAGACTTAACACCCTCAGGGTTTTGAAATACCATATGAATGTTTTTTCTTAACTACCTAGGCTTTTAACATGTGGAAAATATTTTTCCTTGGTCTCTCATATATTCTTGGCAGCTTGGTGCTGGCTCTCAGTACAGCTGTACTCAGTTTGCCACCCAGAAGCTGGAGTTGCCGGGTGCTCTCATATGTCGAGCAGCCGTGTGTGCTGTCTTGGTTGAAAAACTCTGCTCTATTCAGCCTAATCAAGATTATTTTGGTAAAAAAAAAAATGGTGTTTCTCACTTAATTAGAACTGATTTTATAAACTCTGGAATAAAACAATTTAGTTTCCATCATTAGATTCTGTAGAAATGTTTGTTTATGGATCTTTTTTGAAACAATCTTGTAGAGAATTTATTCAGAATCATTATGGGACCAAATTCATCCTTCTAACACAATTATAACTGATGCCATGGATAAAAGATTATACACTTTCTTAAAGATTGCTCAATTTCTGCATCAGTTACAATTAATTATAGTTAAAAAGATCTGTTGTAGTATAGAAAATAATTTTTAGTGTACTTAGAACATACAAACCTGCAACTTCCACAAAGAGAGGAATGAGCGAGTTGTACATAGAAGGTGAGAAAAATTCCATCCAGTCTTCTAACAGCTTGGGGGGATATTTTTCCCGTTCCTTGGGATTGCATTTCAATACCTCCATAAGCTCACCGACACAAAAAACACATTTGCAAACTGCACATGCAAATGTTCCAGCCACGGTCTCGTTGGCAATACTCTTGAAAAGTAAAGCAAAAATAAATTTTTGGACATACATGGATATGATATAAATTTAATTTATGGCTAGAGTACAGTATTAGCTTTATCAAAACTCCTGATATTTTCTTGACAAATATTTCATTCGTTGCATCAATGAACATTTAATCTCGCATTCAAAATTTCTTTCCAAACTTACAGTATACTGTACTAATAGTATTCCTCTTGACAAAAATAAAAAAAAATCTGTTTATGTACCTTTTTAGATTCTTCAAGACTCTGTACCCAAGATGAAAGTGAGCACAAAATAAAATCCCAGTGAGATGGATCAAAGTGTACTGCATGACTCTTAACCAACGCCGACACCAACCGCACCAAGGAACATGTCAGCACAATATCCTCCCAGCCCATGTTGGTAACATCTCTGAAAAATTTTGTCTGAATTTTTATTTCCAAATACAAGGTACTTTACACTATTAAATTCACCCAACTTGCAATCTACAAATCTAATTTTCTATCATAAATAGTCCTTAAAAAAATTTGGTTGGTACATGAAACTAAAATTTTACATCCTCTTAAAATTACAAATACCGTACAGTAGAACGTCAATATAACACGAGATACGTTCCAAGAGTGGTCGCTTTAAACCGAATTCGCACTAAATCGAAGTTTTGTTTCAATGGAATAATTTACTTTGGTTCTTGAGAGAAACACAAAATACTAAAAAGACTGAGAGTCTACCCAGATGCACCTCAGCCCATCTCCTAGAATAAACAAAACATTGTTTTTTGTAGTATTATGTTGAAACAAACACTCATAAATCGACACAGCTAAAATTATGGGACGTGAAATGGTCTGTTTACTAGCGATCAGCAGATGGGAAGATAGGGGAGTGGAGGAGAGGTGAGGTGATATGTTTGACAGTTGATGCCAAGGTCTAGGGCTTATTTATTTATCTGTCCTTAAGAGTGACTTTAAGTTTTTCTCTTATAAAATGTCACTGAACTGATATGTTCTAATTAATTTTATTACAAAGGGCTAAAAATTTTATCTCTTGTGCAAAATAAATGACGTTTATATTCAAATTATTAGCTGTCTTGCAAGGATTCTAGCAATGCAAATTATATTCTGTTAACTTTAGTCTGTGATAATATACAAGATAAAAACTGTAAGTCTATAACCACCCAACCCTGGTTAGGAAGATGGGGGGGGGGTAGGTGACGGTGACACGTTTGACAGTTGAGGCCGAAGGTCTAGTGAAGTATTTATTTGTTTATCTAAGTCCTTTAGATTGATTTTTGTTTTTTGTTTATAAAATGTCACAGAAGTGACCGAGGAGAATATTATTTACATTGCTGGAATTCTTTTAAGATGGTGATTAATTTGAATGTAAAAATGCTATATGTAGTAGTTCCCATTAGACGTACAAATTTTAGTTTTAATTAGGAACTTATTACAAATGGCTAAAAATTTGATCTCTTGTGCAAAATATTTGACATTTATATTCAAATTATTAGCTGTCTTGCAAGGATTCTAGCAATGTAAACTATATTCTGTTAACTTTAGTCTGTGATAATATATAAGATAAAAACTGTAAGCCTATAACCACCCAACACTGGCTGGGAAGATGGGAGAGAGGGAGGAAGGGGAGGTGATATGTTTGACAGTTGCACGAAGGTCTAGTTAAGTATTTATTTGTTTATTTATGTCCTTTAGATTTAATTTTTTTTTTTTTTTTATAAAATGTCACAGAAGTGACCGGGGAGAATATAATTTACATTGCTGGAATTCTTATAAGATAGTGATTAATTTGAATATAATCATGCTATAGTTTGCACTAGACAAAAATTTTAGTACAGGTTGACAATCCCTTATCCGAAATCCCTGGGACCAGAGGCATTTCGGATTTCAGAATTTTTCGGTTTTCAGAATGGTTAGGTTTGTTTTTGTATTTTTTTTTATTAGCCCACCCAGGCACAAGTCACTGATCCACATTGGGGCCTAGGGGACAAAAATATAATAATAATAATAATAATAATAATAATAATAATTCATAGGTCTAGGTCGTGTTTCTCACTTTTTATCTTTTTTCATTCTTGTATTTCTTTATTATTATTTTATTAATACAGTATTATTGTTATTATTATTATTATAAATTTTATTATTATATTTTATTATTATTATTATTGTTATCATTATTATTTTATTTTGGTGTATTTTTTAATTAAAATTTTTATTTACTATGAATAATTATTATTACAGGAGTACCCCGCTTTACACTACACGGTCAATTGAACCCACAGGGTACCGCGGAAAGTGAAAACCGCGTAAAATGAACAACAGAACATATGGGATTAATTCCAATAGAGACTGGCCCGACCCCCAAACTCCACTTTTTCGACACAATACCTATGTTTTAGTAAAAATAACATCTAAATTTTATGATGGTATGCTCACACAATTAATATTTAAGAGAAATACAGTCGCCAGGTTAATGTCCATTCAAATAATGGACTCAAATCCCCCCCCTCTTCCCAGCTCACTAGCTCCTACCTCTCTGATTAATGTTTGGGTGAAAACACTAGATTTTAACGTTTAGTAATAAATAATACCTCAGACTAAAGTTAGGATAATATAATTGACATTTCTGGATTCCTTGCAGGTCAGGGAATATTTTGAATGTAAACTTCATATATTTTGCACAAAAGATAAAATATTTGCTTTGTGTAAACCAAATTATTACATTAGATCTAAAATTTGTATGTCTAATGCAAAATCCATGATGTTTATATTCAAAATGATCATTATATTGTAAGAATTCCAGCAATGTAAATTATATTCTGGCTGGGTAATTTGTATGAATTTTATGAGCTAAAACATATATCTTCAGTAAATAAACAAAGAAATATTCTTCAAGGACACTATCTGTCAATCAAAATACTCCGCCCTAGCTGGGTCGGTCCCTCCCTCCCTCCCTCCCTACCAGAGAAGCTTTGGGAGAAAATAGTATATTTACATTTTTAGTAATAAATAATAACTCAGACTAAAGTTAGGATAATATAATTGACATTTCTGGATTCCTTGCAGGTCAGGGAATATTTTGAATGTAAACTTCATATATTCTACACAAAGGATAAAATATTTGCTTTGTGTAAACCAAATTATTACATTAGCTCTAAAATTTGTTTGTCTAATGCAAAATCCATGATGTTTATAATCAAAATGATCATCATATTGTAAGAATTCCAGCAATGTAAATTATATTCTGGCCGGGTAATTTGTATGAATTTTATGAGCTAAATAAAAAAAAAAAAAATTATACTTCACTATGAGTAGATGCACCGTGGAAAGTGAAAGTCCGGTTCTGGCAAGGTACCGTGTAAATGAGAAATTCGCGGAAAGTGAAACCGTGTAAAGCGGGGTAATACGGTATTATAGTTAGTATTACTTTTAAATTTTGCCCCCCAGGCCCCGATGTGGGTCAGTGATCTATGCCTGAGTGGGCTAATCCCTGTTTAAAAAAAAAAAATAAATAATAATTGCTCCACAAATTTTTTTTCGGTTTTTAGAGCTTTTCGGTTTTATAAAGGATTGTGAACCTGTAATCATTTAGTGCATTATTTTGAGTACATATACAGTACGCTTTGCCCTTAGGACAGTGTAGCATGCCCAGAGAAACATTAGGCGCGAATTTTAAAATATGATGCTCCAGATTGACTCGTGCAAAATAGGAAAGATTCGCTTTAAATTAAAACTTTGTCCTTAATTGTGGGTGTCGCATTAAATCAATACTCTTAAATTGAATCACTTTAAATCGATGTTCTACTGTACTGTACTGTACAAGGTATAATATCAAATTAATATGTAAAGATAAGGCTGAAATAGCCAATAGGTTCTAATATACCATATAAGGTCAACAAAGAAGTAAAAATTCCTCACGTGGCAAATAGGAATATGTTGTCAGCATTTTCTCTCCACTGTGTCAACACTGAGAAGATGGAACACACAACATCATTGGTGACGGATGAAGGGACATAAGACAAAGCTGTTGTGATAATAGCCACACTTGGGGTGGCAGAAAATGGGTCTTCAGAGTAACTGGATAATTTACCCATTTCCTCAGCCAAGAGGTCCACTTTAGTTTCTTGAGGCAACAAGGGTAGCAGACACTGTGGACATAGAAATAAAAAAAGATAGATATTTAAGGTAATCTTGAAACAAGAGTTCTAATAATAAAGGGTACAGTACACAGTACCTCCAAGGAGTATTAAACTGAAATAGAACTGAAATAGAATGTGTGGCAACACATTCTAAACTGAAGGGTCGTGATATACAGTACACAGGTTAAAACAACACCCAACACCATTGTCTGACTTTTATTTCATTATAAGTAAAACAATAATAAAAAGGAAGATGTCAATACAAAAATTTTTTGGTTATTAAACACAATACAGATGGATGGATGAACAAAATCACACCATGTATCATGTTATACTGAGTAAGAGAAGGACATACATCAAAATGTAATGAAAGCTATTACTCAGCCTAAAAATTTCTAATAAGTCATATACTGTACTTTATTAAACTGCCCCTTACTTAAGGCTGATTTATAAATGATTGCCAACTGGCCATTGTACAGTATAGGACAGGGGGCCAAACCGAGGTTCGTGAGCTGCATGTGGCTCTTTGACACTCAATGTGCGGCTCGCGAAAATATATTGGCTCACCTCTTTTTTGTGTTATAATTAATATAAAAGGTACCGGTAAATAAGAAAAATGTTCGAGCTTTATATTTATAAACTGAGACTCCACTGGACTAATACGTAAGTTAAGTGTTCAAGGTGAGTACAAATATATAAGAATTTAAATCTTAATTATAATGCTAGATCAGGGTCAGGTGTCATTCATCAGTGCTGAGGGGAGGGATGGTGGGAGGTAGAGGGATTAAAGAAGTTTCAGGTCAGCAAATCTCAGGTCAGCAGAGGGATTATGGAGGAATGTCAGAGAGAGGGGGATGGGAGGGGCTGGGAGGGGCAAGGGGATGGGAGGGGCCTGGGGGGATGGGCTTGGCAGGTCAGGTCCTGGCCTCAAGTCATGACATGTACATTAACGCAGTGTAACACACGACTTTGACCTGTGCAGATCTAGGTGGTACACTCAGGATATAAATTGTGTTTACAGTTCACTAGAATAAGTTGTTTTTAAATACTGTTAAATATATTTCATAGCACTGTGTCTGTGAAAATTTTGTGAAGGAAAATGGCATCATCAAATTGTAAGAAGTGAAAGTATGAAGATGAAAACAGAAATTTTAAGCAAGAGTGGGAGGAAGATTTTGCATTCACTGATAAAGGAGGCAAACCTTTGTGCCTTATCTGCAATGTGTCACTCACTCACTACAAAGCCAGTAACTTGAAACGCCACTACGAAGCAAATCACAAAAACTTTTCGTGTGATTATCCACCTAAATCACAATTACGGAAAACAAGCTGTGTTAAAATCATCACCAAATAGCCAGCGGACACTGTTGACAATGTTCAGTAAGGAAGCTGAAACAGCGACTGAAGCTAGTTTTGTTATTTCATGGAATATTGCTAGTGGTAAATGCCCATATTCTGATGGAGAATTTGTTAACAAGAATAGAGCTGAAGTTATTGCAGTGTCAGATCCAAATAACACAAAACTTCAGCGACCAATAGCACAAACTCCAGTTTCACGCCACACTACAGAGAGGCGTATCTCCCAGATAAGTGCTGATGTTGTAAGCAAGATGCAAAATGCTTTGAAGAATTCTCCAGCATCTAGCTTAGCTCTTGACGAGTCTACAGACATACAAAACAACCCACAACTGGTGGTATTTGTTCGTTATGTTTCCTCTGACGTAACTGTGAAAGAAGAGATGTTAGACTTCGTGGCAATAAAAGAAACAACTCGTGGTGTTGACATTAAAAATACACTTGACAGAGCCTTAACAAATGCTGATGTTCCACTCGATAAACTTGTCAGTGTTGCAATGGATGGAGTACCTGCAATGGTGGGGAAATAGGCAGGGCTAATTGCACTCATGACAAGTGATCCCAAATTTCCAGAGTTCCTCCCTGTTCACTGCATCATTCATCGTGAACACCTAGCAGCCAGATACTTCAGGTACAAAATTTTTATGAAAATTGTCCTAGATATTGTCAATTTCATCCGTTCAAATGGGAAGACCCACCGACAATTCAAAAACTTTACTGAAGAACTGGAGCTTGAAGACAAGCCCAGCGACGTCTATTTCTACTGATTTGTGAGATGGCTGTCAACCAGCAATGTCTTGAATAGGTTTGTAGATCTGTAGGACCCTATCACTACTTTTCTTGAACAGAATAGATCCTATCCTCAACTGGAAAATGATGAATGGATGCAAGATCTGATGTTCCTCACTGATATAATGAAACATCTACAAACTCTCAACTTGGTACTCCAGGGGAAGGATAAGATTGTTTCTGATCTTACTCAAACAATTTTCAGCTTCCAGAAAAAAATATGAATTGTTCTAAGAGACATACTGTACTGTCAAGAAACTTCAGCCACTTCCCCCATCTCAAAAGCAGAGTACAGGTATATACACTCCCTGATATTGAAATAAAAGACCAAAAACTGGAAGAATACAAAGATAAATTACAAGGACTACTTGATAATTTCCTCGCAGAAGTTGAAACCCTGCTTCGCCTTTCTTATAAATCCATTCATGGTTGATGTAATCAATGATGGTTGTCCGATTCTTGAACTTCTGATTACAGAATCATCTGCAGTGGAAATGTAACTAATGGAATTTCAGGAGGACCTCGTGTTATCGCCGCTGGGTTATAAATGCTGGTGTCAGCTGTTGACGATCGCTGCCCACCTCGAACAATCATTGGATCCCCCCCTCCATGACCTGTTGCCTCGTGAGATGTGGCGGCTGGGGAAGGGGGGAGGGGGCGGTGTTTACGGATAAAGAGTTCCTTTTTCTGCTGAATGTAAAGGGTGACGTGGCTCTCATGACACAGATCGCCCCCCCCACGTGACCTGCGACCTCGCCAGATGCGCCAAGCAGTGTTGACGCCTGGCACCCAGGGAGTGTTATCACCGCTGGTGTCAGTACTGACGAGTGAGTACTGGCGTGTGTGCTGGCGTTTGCTGCCCTACCCGAACAAAGATTGGGGGGTGGGCGGTGTTTACGGAGAAGAGGTCCTGATTCCGCTAAATGAATGGCTTAAAAGGGTGGCGTGGCTGCCTGGACTTCAGGAGACCGTTCACTCGAGTGATGCTGTGAGGACCAGCCCTCCCCTCGAGTGATGCTGTAAGAAGCAGCTTCCTGCTCGCACTAATAAACACCACACAATCCTGTCCAAGAATTTGTGCTGAGACAATTTACACAGTACTGTTGTCTCCTGGAACACCATACTGATCTGCATTGACCCGCACTTGTAAGTACAGCCTAAGTGAAGACATACCCCTCGGTACTGAAATATTGTAGACTAATTACGTCTACTCGTTTCTGCCTAACTTGGAGTAATAAGACAATGCAGAATGAAGCAAAGCTAAGATTAATAGAGTTATGAACTTTGTATCATGTCACTATGCTCAAGAAACAATTATAATTAAGACAAACTGTGTGAGACTAACTAATTATGTATCAGATAGATCACTAATGAACGCCTTGTTCTCTGCAGGTTTTGACCACATCAATAAATATTGAATGCGTCAACAGGTGGGTTTCAATCATTCCCTTTGACTTGCCCGTCACCCGAACGTCCTTATTCCCAAGGCGTTTATACTTGGGTTTAAAGATGATCCATAAATCTCAGTCTACAGTCGAGTTCTGGAAGCAAGTTCCAGAAACAAAATATCCTGAACTCAAGAAAACTAGAGTGCGACTCATCTCAATTTTCAGCACAGCATACTGCCGCGAATCACTGTATTACGCAATGAAGTTTGTCAAGTCAAAACATCGTGCAATCCTCACAAATCAACACCTGACGGAGCTAATTCGTACAGCCTTGACAACATATTAACACAGCCAAGTTGGAGACCCACAAGACTTCTACTAGTAGTAAATAGCCTGATAATTGTAGCAATATCTCTTTATGTAATAAATATTAAATAATGTTATGACAATGTTGTATCTTTGTAAGGTGGTATCTGATTAACATATCTTTAATTTTATTTGTTTTACTTGTTTTTCTTTTGCATATTTTCCTCAAAGTTTTGACCAAATATTTTCTAAGAGAAATAAATTTAATTAAAAATACCTTATAGTTCTTTTTTTACTTTTATTTCAGCAATCTCATATTATGTTACTGAAATGCAGAGTTGCATATTTTTCCCGAGATGTTCCCGTAGATCATTATGTATTAAACTTACTCGACACCGTTAAAGCAAACATCACTCAAGATTTTGATAACATTTGGTATATTGAAACTAATTCAATTTAAGAGTTTAAAAATCTACATACATTAGTTAGTACAGTATATAATACTGCATACGAGTATTTCTTAGCAACACGTATTTGCATGTCATTTTTGTAATAAAATGTGTTTGTAACAATAAAAACGTTTATAATGTTTCTTCAAGTCTTGCGGCTCTCGAACATATGAAGATTATCGTATGCGGCTCTTGGGTTCAGCAAGTCTGGCCATCCCTGGTATACAAGTTCATGCTTTCCTAAATATAAATCTACAAATGAGCTTATCCATCGCTCACCTGTCAGGTATAGTCGGGGTCAAAAGTTTGCTCCCTCCCAAAATGAAGCAGTATCGACCCCCAAGTGAGATAAAACAGCACACCAGCACCAGATAGCAGTCAGGGTAAGTAAAGTTCGGAGACTCATTCCCGTGATTCAGTTTCACCACGGAGAGCGAACTTTTGTCCGCGACTGTACCTCCACTTCTGCTCAACAATTAATTCACTTCATCTGTTATGCCCTGTGAATTCTTTACCTGTTTGGTGGCGGTGTACCCGAGAGAGTTTTCTTCTAAGCCATCCATCAGCCGCGGACCGTTGATGTCCTCATCGTACATCCAATTGTTCAGCACATTGATGAACGTCACACACCAAAAACTGCTACCATCACTACATCTACACCAAAGAAATAAATTCAGTCTCTCCCCCAATTGTTTAGCAGGGATAAGACTTTATGAAACTCATGTATTTAACCTCATCAATTTGGCTTTAAAACCTATAGAACGAATAGTTAATCTACCATTGTCTCATGCTAGGTTAGGGGGTGTTATGCCATGGGGAATTATACATGAAATTAATCATTGTTACTGTTATCTTTAGGCTGATAACTACATACTGTAGAGTAACTACATCAACCCTTTTTGTATGTGAGGATGTTAACTCTACTTTGACTATGAACTTGTTTATCTTGAGTTTAGTATAGAGATAACATTTATTTACCTTACCTTTAATCTAGACATCCTTATATAATTTTTCTAAATGTCAACACCAACCTGTCTCTGATTTGCTTTGTGACAAGTCTCTTGTTTCCCTGATTCAGCAATTTTAACAAGCACCTCATGTCCTCATTTAACTTTTCTGTACCTGTTTTTATGTCCTCTGAGACAGTTTTCTGTGGAATAAAATAAATCAATACAAATAATCTGATGTAAAAGACTACAAAATTTAGTACAAAAATAACAACCAAACCACAACATCAATACATTAAAACACTGATAATTTTTCTATCCTATGCTAGTATAGAGAGAACTGCAAGTATTAGTGTAGTATAGGTTAAAGTGTCTATAGATAACTCTGGAAATACAGGTTAGGTGTCTGCAAAAGGAGGTTTATCCAGCACTATGTACAGTACAGTAGTTCATTATAAATTTTTTGTTGAAGACTCAATGCAGTAAATATATTTTTTAACATGATAATTTTCAAATACCATATTAACATCATAGGATAAAAAAGATAATACTGCAATAAGTACAGTACTTCCAAATGAAAGAGGTTTTACACTTACGTTCTGGAGATGTTCATTCAGTTCTTGCACAGCTGTGGCATGGCAGGCAGAGTGAAGTGCTGAGCCCACAAGGTGAGTGTACTGACCAAGGGACACTTGCTCCTCCTTCATACTACTCACATCTTCATCTCCCGATCCACTCAAGAATAACAGCAAATCACAGATGAACATAGACATCTGTGTATGTGTATGTTCCCATTTTAGGTTTTCATGCATGCTTTTTGGGAATGGAAATTCACTGCATGATATGATATCCAGAAGGATATCTGAAACCACATACATGGGAGAGAGCTTTGCTTCTAACTCTGCCCATTCTCCTTCAGTGGGTAAAAGCAAGTTTAACATGGCTTGTATTTGGCTATGATCAAGCATGATACTGCAGTCTTCTTTTGGCACCTGCTTGAACACCATCATCAAGAGATGATGAGTAAGCTCAGCCATGGCCATTGTTAAGTGGAAGGTGGAGGTGGCTGCTATCACAGTTTGTTTAATGTCTTTTAATGTAGAACTAAGGCAACTTCCCTCTTCCAACAGCTTGTCTGGGTTATCTGTTGCTACTGATGCAATCAATCCTTTAAAAGCCTTCAGGAATGTTGTCTTGAGTAAGTCAACTGTAACCACGGACAAGGACTTTGAGGACTGACAAAGTAACAAAAACAAGGAATTCATAAATTCATGGATGCCTCTTGTCTGCCAACACACATAGCTACTGAACAGTTGTCCGGCCAAGTTAGCTACCAGCTGTACCATTGGGTCTTCTGGTTCACTCTCTCCAGGACCACTAACTTTCAAGTTAATACTAAGTTTGGTGAGAATTTGTGAAATGTATTCCATGGCAATCACAGGTTCTGTTGGAAGAAAAATTCAGAAGTCATATAAACAAAGTGAATATATCTGGCATATACAGTTAAAAAAGCTAGAAAAGGTTGCCCCTGTGTAGGTGGCACTGATACAAGTGGATAAAGGATAGTGTATATGTACCTCCACAGACCCCATATCAAGTGCAAATGTTCTTCAGCTCTCTCAATCTCCTCTCAAGTATGTAAAGTGTTGGGCCCTGGAGTCTGTAAAATTTTCACATTCCCATATATTTTTTTCTTCTCACTTATGAGGACTTACAGTTGCTGTCCTGTCACACCCTCTTGCCACTCCTATCCCGAGATATACAATACTCGTAGGACTCAACCCTGAACCATAAACAAACACCTGCCATGGTTCAAAGTTATATACATATTGAAGAACAAATTATATTATAAACATACCAAAAACAAAATGGTAAACCTAATAAAACAGTGAAAAGAATTTACATACAACTTTTTCAATTTGCAAGATACAGTTATGTGTGAGGTGTGATGTGTTTCTGAAAAAGTGTTTGTCAGGTGAATTCTAATTTTACAGGACCCATTTTCTCACACGAATCTGCGTTAAAATCCGAGATAAATTCCAGCACAAAATTTTTGTCCCCAAACCCCATGGTTTAACTCAGATGTGCTACAGCCAAAAGAATTTGAATCTTAAAACCTAATCTAACGAAGATTAAACCATCCAGACATACTGTGCTGGCTCTGCTCCTTGATCCAAGAACTCAACAACCCTTCCATATGCTCCATCACATTACTCCAACTCTGAGACCATTGCCTAACACTTTGGTGTCATTTCTTTATGCACGGAAATATGATATGAACTAAATAATTAGAATTTAACACTCGCTTGATATGGCAGGATAAATTTTTCAGACACACCATTCAAAGTAGTAATGGTGACACGTTAATTTAGAAATTTTCAACACGATGTTAATTTGAAATGATGACGTTGAAAGGAGTAATCTATGAAATATATAAATACAGTACAGTGATCCCTAGGTTAGCAAGATTTCGGTTAACGAGTTACCTTCCATAAGATTCTTAACTTCGGTTAACGAGCAATCCCTCGATTAACGAGTCTTTTACGAGCTGACCTCAACATGTTTTCGCTTGCATTTGGTGGTCCATCAGCTGTAGTATTAGTTCGCCAATAGAGTAATCGGTTCTAGGGCTTAAATTCCTTACTATTTTAGTAAATATCAAGAAGTTTATACTATTCAATAATTTTAAAAGTTTTATATTAAATTTTTTAGTCATTTTAACAATTATTGACCATAATTGAAGTAGAGGAAGCTAGTTTTCTGCGTGCCAATCAGCCTGTCAACACACCATACAGGCGTCAGTCTCTGTCTTTTCAATGGAGGTAACATCTTGCTTGAGACTCTCTTCAACTAAACACTTTTTTTCTGTGTTTCCAAGCAAATTATTGGTCATTTTGAAATTTATTTTACATATTGACAATATATAATGCAGTGTTGATTTAAAGAAAATAATCTTGAATTTCACCAAGAGAACTAAAATTTTATGGGTGAAATGGTGCCATGGGGTGAGTTCTCTTCCACCCAAATGCCTTCTCTTCTCCTTTCTCCTCTACTCCCATTCTAATTCCCATCATCATCATCATCCAGGAGCCTTCTACATACACACTTCAAAGTAAGTGTACTCTACTACCTTTTTTGTTGATTTTAAGCAATTTTCGGTGAGCTGGAACCAATTACCCAAAAACCCATTGAAACAATGGTTTCAGTTAACGAGTTTTTCGGTTAACGAGCAACCTTCTGGAACGAATTGTGCTCGTTAACCGAGGGACCACTGTACTTTTTTTTTTTTAATAAAATGTGAGTAGAGGAAATAATTAAGGTAAGTTAAGATGAATTTCTATACCGTAATAATGTACAGTACAATATTTATTACCATATAAGATGTACATTTTGATGGTCTGGAATGGAATGAGGGAAAAGGAAACCCTCCCATTAACAAACATAGTGTGCACAAATTAGTCCATTATTGGGAGGGTTTACTATATGTAAGATATTGGTAGAATTCATTGAAAAAGGTGTTTACAGAAATACAGATAATTAAATTCCTTTGTCTAAAATGTGTGTCTGTACAGAACCAAGTTTTAATAATCACACATAAAAATAAGATAGAACAAGTAAGAGGTACCTTTTTTATTTCCATTTCTGAGGACGAAGTTGAACAGAGAAATGAGTTCCTCTTGCTGTTTCAAATGTTGAGTTGAGGGTAAGACCTTGGCAGGACCACAAAGTCCATCTACCAGCTGAACAAGACGGCCGCCCAACTGTGGCGATAGTAACCATTCTGCAGCCACTTCATCACTCTCTCTACGGTCTGTCATCTTCTCCACCAGCAGGCGTAACGCACATACTGACAGACATGGCTGCAGATAATCTAAACTTAAACACAACTCTCAGAAACTTTGTGTATCAGCAAACTACAAATACTAAACAACTCATCTTGGCTAGAGCAGAAACAAATACTGTACACATATGCAATATTCTATAAAACATCACATCTAAAATAAACTTATTAATGCAAGTGTTATGGAAAAAATTATAATATTTTCCAATGTCAAACTTTTGGGGACAATAATGCAGGGTGGTAGGAATACAGATTAAACACAGATACTACTGTACTTCATTCTCTGCCATTCATTCTTACTGGTGAACTGGTGCATTCTGCTATCCCCTTCCACAACAACCACCAACATGTGTTCCATGTCCTTATTCCCCCCCCCACCTCAAAAAAAATAAAACACTCAACCTCAAGCTCTCCAGTCATTCAGGAATACTGTTGTTTCCTATAAGTTTATCCCCATACTTGTTGTTGAGTGTCCTTCATCCCATCCATCCATTTTCTTCTTGGTATTCTGCTCACCCATGTACAGTAACTTATCATATCAACAGCCCCGTATCTTTTAAAATCCAACTATGTACCTTTGAGATTTACTGTTTTCTCACATAGCTGTCTCTTATGGTCCCTTGATTTACTTAAACCTGTCTAGCCATTCAATATCTTCTACTTCTCCAGAAAAATACCTCCTTTGGCAACCTTGACTATGAGCACATAACTTCTTAGATACACCATGACACAAACATGACAAGGGCAGGCAGAAAAAGAAAAGAAAAAGACAATGAATGAAGGTGAGTGTGTTGTTTTTGATTCAAGCTAACTATTATCACAATGGAAAACTTGTTAGTGGGGAAATAAACTTCTCAGCGTAATCAAACACGTCCTTTTTAAAAATAATTCACCAGTTTTAGAAAATTTTCAGTATATGTTTCATTGTCACTGGTTTCTTGACACTTTATTGTATGAACAATGTAATAAAGGGCACCTACAGTATTTATATTAGATATAATGTATCATGTTCCAGTTTCAGTGGATATTAGATAATAGAACTTACCTTGAAATTCATCAGCACCAGTTTTTGTTCTGCCTGGTCCAGCAACACGTATAAACTCATGAAAATGTTGACTGTTGGTTGAGATATAAAAGAGTTTTCTTCTTCCATCTTGGGGAGAATAACCTGCTCAAGCAACTCTCTTGCATCAACAGGTTTCTCTTCTCCTAAGCCATGTACGAGGGCAGTGTAAGTACTAGGTGATGGAAAGGAGGACAAGAGAGCTGAAAATATATTATATATTGCCAAACTCTTTTCCTGTAAATATTTACTGTAACAAAAGAATATCAGTGGTGTAATTGTTACTCCAGTAGTTTCTAAGAAAATTATCTCTTTCTCATATTGTTCAGTGGACTTCTCATCTGCAGATAGAACCTTTATGTCAACTTCATCAGAAAACTTTATTCCCTCTCTTCTGTGGCTGAATGTTGACTGTGGGTTCTTCAGGACATAGAAGAAGGTGATCATTTTAGAGTGTACTGACTCACTTCCTTGCTGGATCAGGTTCTCACATTCAGGGATGATTTTTTTCCAGAAAAGGGTAAAAAGTTCATTCAAAAACTTCAACTTTTCTCCTGTTTGAGATTTCCCAGAGAAAAAGCGTAAAAGTCCAGCAACTTCTCTGTAAAGGTTCGAGGTGCTTAACTGAGGTGTGTCAGTGAAGGAAGACCTCAGAAGTTCAACCACCTGCAATACAGCGCTTCATTAGAATGCCATTCACATATACATTAACAAGTGCAAATCTATGACACTATTTTTTTTAGGATTCTATACACAATAAATTCTGGTTCATAAACTGTAAAGAGAAAATATAAATATAAATATATATATATATATATAAATATATATATATATACATATATATATATATATATATATATATATATATATATATATATATATATATATATATATATATATATATAATATAAATATATATATATATATATAAATATATATATATATACATATATATATAGTCGGCCCTTAACATACGCGGGTTTAGCATACACGGATTTGCAAATACTGTACGCGAATTGCCCCGCCGGAGGAATATTCTGTACATTGAAGTAATTGAAGTACATTCAAATCACGCGCGGCTGCACACGGCCCGCTACCCCACACACACACACACGCATAGCGCGTCACGCCACCCCGCTCTCTCACTCAGTCAGTCTCGCTGTAACCACGCTTGTGTTGACATCAGAATAGTAGTTGCTACCCTTGCTACCCACATTTATTTACCATGGCCCCTAAAAGAGCATCAAAGACACCAGCTGGAGTCACCCCTAAGCGCCAGAAGAAAGTGATGACTCTGCAGGAGAAGGTGGAGTTGCTGAATCAGTTAAGGGAGGGAATGTCTTTCGCTGCTGTGGGGCGACTGTACAACGTGAACGAAAGCACCGTACGTACCATCAAGAAAAAGGAAAAAGATATCTGTGATGCTGTAAGTGCCAGTGCTCCACGCAGTGCTAAGCATGCCAGCCAAGTGAGGGAGAAGGCAATGGTGAAGATGGAGAATGCCTTGTTTCTGTGGACAGAGGACCAGCACCGGAAAGGTGTAGTAGTGGACTCTATCCTTATCCGGGAGAAAGCTAAGTCTCTACACACACGCTTCACGCCTGCAGCTGAGGAACCCGTACCCAGTACCAGTGCTGCTACCCCCACACCTGAGACACCTTTCCAAGCCAGCAAGGGGTGGTTTGACAATTTCAAGCGTCGATTTAGCCTGAAGAATGTGAAGATGACTGGGGAGGCTGCGTCAGCAGACACCATGGCTGCAAAAGCTTTCCCAGCAGAGTTGAAAGCAATACTCTAGGAGCAGGGTTACAAGCCAGAACAAGTTTGGAATATGGATGAAACAGGTAAGACAATAAATTACTACTGTACATTTAACCATAAAAATGCTCAAATACCTGTTGTACTGTACGTACTGTATTGTGTTGTAAGAGAAAACGGGATAAATGCGTCTGAGTTTTATACAGTAGCCTTTATATTTTTATTCCGTAGTGATTTACCATACAGTGTGGTGTTATATTTTTATATTTTTATATCAATTTTGATACCGTATATGTATAATAGTACAGGGTGTACTATTTTCTTTTCCAACAGGTTTGTTCTGGAAAGACGCCACAGCGCACTTTCATCGCCCAAGAAGAACGCCGTGCACCAGGATTCAAGGCAGCCAAGGACAGGTGTACCGTGCTATTTTGTGGCAATGCTGCGGGTCACCTCATTCGCCCAGGCTTCATATACAAGTCTAAGAAACCGCGTGTATTCCAACACCGCGACATGAGCATGCTGCCTGTTTTCTGGATGCACAATAAGAAGGCCTGGACAACGAGCGACCTGTTTCTCAACTGGTTCCACCATTGTTTCCTGCCAGAGGTTGAACGTTACCTGCACCAGAAAGGATTTGAGTTCAAGATCCTGCTAATCCTCGACAATGCTCCTGGTCATCCACAGTCAGTGGAGGTGCTGCATGAAAAGGTACAGGTGTTGTTCCTTCCACCCAACACCACTGCACTTATCCAGCCAATGGACCAGGGAGTTATCAAGACATTCAAGGCTAACTACAGTAAACGTGTGATGGCCAGACTGCACTCAGCCTTAGACCATGATCAAAACCTGGATGTGCTTCAGTACTGGAAGAGCTTCAACATTGCCGACTGCTTATCTGTGGTGGCTGAATCTTTCAAGGATGTGAAGCTTGAGACAGTGAATGCCTGCTGGAAATCACTGTGGCCTGAATGTGTGAAAGATTTCACTGGATTTTCTCCTGACGAAGCCATCGCAGATGTGGTGAGAAAGACCCTGGCACTGTTAAGGAAAGTGGCTGCTGAAGGCTTCCAGGACATGGCAGAGGACGAGATTAGGGAGCTAATTGAAGAGCACGACACTGAGCTGACCGAGGAGGATCTACAGGAGTTAGTAGACTCAGGCAAGGAAGAGGAAGCGAAAGGGAAAGAGGTAGAGCACCAAGAAATAACGTTGGAGAAGTTGGGGGAGATGACTAGGAATATTGAGGCACTGAAAAACCTGGCCTATAGTATGGACCCCTCCATGGTGCGTGCCCTGAAATTCATGCGAGGGATGGATAACGTTTTTGCTCCATACAAAAACATTATGGAAGAAATGAAAAGAAAGAGACGACAACTCCCCATCACCATGTTCTTTGATCACCGAAGGAGAGATTTAACATCATCAATCACTGGCGGCAGTGAGGAAGCAGCTGAATCCACCGTCGCCCCCACTTCACCACCCGTTATGGAATTGAGTGACGATGAGCCCGATGACCCCCGTCCTGTCGCCGAGGATAGGTACGGTACAGTAAATTGAAATTTTTATCTCTTTTTTTTAATAGCTTTTCTTGCCATGTTTATTGTTTGTAAAAATGCACAGCACAGTACAGTTCAGTACTGTACATAGGAAGTGGAGGTGCAGTTATTCACAAAACATTTGTGTTTGTTGTCGGCAGTAGTGACGGTGAGGAGGCGGAGGAGGGAGCGGAGGGAGCGAGTTGGGAGGAGTGGTGACCTTGGACGCGGGAGCAGGGACGAGATGCCAGCCAGTACATTACGGGTGTATTAATTGTTTTTATAGCTATTTTTGCATTCTAATATTAAATACTGTACATTACGTTTCAACAAAACTACCATTTATTTCTGAGAACATGGAAATGTAATATTTTTGCTGAAATGATGTACGTATTACAGTGGAAAGTGGGATAAAATTGTGACGAAAGCAATGACTTTCTCTTTCTTTCGTTCAAAAGATGTTACCGTAATCGCTTTTCAAATGGTTTTCAGTTGTGGGATTATAAGGCTAATGATAGGATAGAATATTATTGTAATACAGTACGAGTACAACAGTTTTTTAACTGAAAACCATTCGAAAAGCGATTACGGTAAAATCTTTTGAATAACGAAAGAAAGCGAAAGTCATTGTTTTCGTCATGATTTTATCCCACTTTCCACTGTAATATGTACGTCATTCCAGCAAAAATATTATATTTCCATATTTATTTCTGAGAATCCGTATATTCATTCAGTCACAGTTAAGGTAAAATATACTGTACTTGTGATGTAATATTTTAAGGAAAATACAGTATCGTAGTTTTCTTTTGTTTCAAATTTAATTAACAAAGATTGATGTTTCAAATGTAATGAACAAAAATTTATGTACAGTATCTATAAATACACTTTAATAAATGAAAACTTTATGTTTTACATCGTCCTGTGCTACCATACCATGGATTTGGCTACTTTGGGCTTGCAATGATGACGCAAGAGATCTGCCCTGGCAACTGTACCGACACTCACAGCTGGTGGTGCGTTGGTGCATCGTTTCCAGTGTTTACTGGTAGTTACTGGTAAATATTTTTCAACCTAATGAAACTATTACCCGTTTAGAGGTCAACCCCCAATTTTTTGCCAAATAATTTGGTCTTAAAAACTCGAACTACACACAGGTATATACAGTAAATAAGGACATGGGGGGCCAGGGGTTTTTTTTAGGGGGAGCAAAAATACGCAGATTTCTAACATCCACGTAACCCCCGCGTATGTTAAGGGCCGACTGTATATATATTTTTGTTTACAACTAAAATAAACAATTCCAAAATTATACCAACTTAAACTTTTCTAATCTTGTATTTTAATTCACACTTCCTTATTAGTGCTATGACTTATCTTAAGGAGACTTTGTGATTATTTACAGGCCTTTACAGATTAAATTCCACTGAAAATAATTCCTAGGTAAACTGTGAGGTTATAAGCACACTGTTCAAATGTATAACTGTGCAAAGTATACTGTACTATATAAATATCCAAGTGCTACAGCTCCGGTAGGCTACACACTCTGGGCACTCACCTGGTATTTCATAAGAGTATCCCACAGTTGTGTATCATTAACTTTCTTGCTCACATAACAAAGACACTCATACAATGACTTTATAATAGAAGATACGTCTCTACTGCTTGACAGAATTTTCTCTTTCAGCAATCTGAAATAAAAAAAAATATAATACACATCACAAGATTTATTATTGTAAACTACACACCATCTAATAATTATAAGTTGTTTAGTGTTGTCAAATCTTATTTACGCATTATACTTTTACACATGGCAATAATCAATGAATATGTAAGGTCTTATATAATGTGATAAGATACAGAATGGTATTAAGGATGCTGGACAGTCAAGATGATAAGCAGGATTTGTATTGTTAGAAGAATTCTCAAAAGATGTTTGGAGCTGTAATACAGTACTGTACTGTCACACTTGAAGAGTTGTGGGTACTGGTTCTAGGTTGAGTAAATGTGAATTATTACTTAACTGAGTACAGTACTCAAACAGTCATTACTTATTAATGTACAGTACTCAGACAAATGTACAGCATTCAAATGGTCATACATTCATAAAACAAGAGATGGAAAACTACAGTACTTAAATAACTGAATACTGTACTATAACCAGGTTTCTACATTTGGGTAATAGTCCCTTCTACCCTACTCATGAGGATGTATTATCAGTAACCAACTGAGGTGTGTCTGTCAAAACTACAGGATGGTTGACAGGGAGGAATGGTTTGGAAGCAACTGATAAACCAGCTATACAAAAGTGAAGATGATTGGCAAAATGGTGCATAATAAGAGTGAGAGAAGATGTACAGTAGGGCGAGACTACAGATGAAGTTGAAGTACAGAGTGAGATGAGAATATAAGGAAGCAGCAAGTTTTCATAGGACAAAACTCTGTTGAGAATGTAAAAAGAAGTACAGTGATCCCTCGGTTAACGATTTACCTTCCATAAGATTCTTAACTTCGGTTAAGGAGCAATCCCTCGATTAACGAGTTTTTTACGAGCCGACTTCAACATGTTTTCGCTTGCATTTGGCGGTCCACCAGCTGTAGTATTAGTCCGCCAATACAGTAATCGGTTTTAGGGCTTAAATTCCTTACTATTTTATTAAATATCAAGAAATTTAAACTAATCAATAATTTTAAAAGTTTAATATTAACTTTTTTAGTCATTTTAACAATTATTGAACATAATTGAAGGTAAAGAAACTAGTTTCTGGCGTGCCATCCAGCCTGTTAACACACCAGACAGGCGTTAGACTCTCTCTGTTATCAGTGGAGGTAACATCTTGCTTGAGACTCTCTTCAACTAAATGCTTTTTTCTGTTTCCAAGCCAATTATTGGTCATTTTGAAATTTATTTTACATATTGACAATATATAATGCAGTGTTGATTTAAAGAAAATAATCTTGAATTACACCAAGAGAACTAAAATTTTATGGGTGAAATGGTGCCATGGGGTGACTTCTCTTCCACCCCAATGCCTTCTCTTCTCCCTTCTCCTCCACCCCCATTCTAATTCCCATCATCATCATCCAGGAGCCTTCTACATACACACCTCAAAGTAAGTGTACTTTTCTACCTTTTTTGTTGAATTTAGGCAATTTTCGGTTAGCTGGAACCAATTCCCCAAAAACCCATTGAAACAATGATTTCGGTTAACGAGCAACCTGCTGGAACGGATTGTCCTCGTTAATCGAGGGACCATTGTACAGTGGTCCCTCGATTAACGAACGGTTCAATTAACGAAGTTTTGCTTTACGAATTAGCTCCCATAAGGATTTTCAGTTTCATTAACGAATAAAACTTTGATTAACGACAGCCTTATGAAAAACACGCCTTGTTGTGTGCATCAGCTGATCGACTAGTCCGCCAATACAGTAATTGGTTCTATGTTTACATTCGTTTCCAGTGGAGTAAATATCAAGAAAGTTGTGCTCTTGAATATTTTTGCATTTTTTATATTAAAATCATTGGTCATTCTGAAATTTAGTTCACGTGTTGATAACATATACAGTACAGGGATCAGTTTTTGTGTGCCCTTCAGCTGATTGAATCGGCCACCAACACTTTTCAGTTTAACTTTGTTTACAGTGGAGTGAACTTCCAGTTTATTGGTCTCTTGAATATTTTTGCATTTTTTTATATTAAAATTATTGATCATTCTGAAATTAAACTAACATATTGATAATATACAGAGCAGAAATTATTATGAAACATGAAGAAGGCATTAGAACCAATGCACTCTGTAAAGAATATGGCATGTCATCATCAACTGCCTCTACAATCAGCTGTTTGATATGTAAACAAAGCTGCCGGGAATACAACATACACACCTCAAAGTAAGTTAAAATACAGTACTGTATTCTATATCTTTTTATTTATTATTGTACAGTATACTGTATAGTACAGTACTGTATTTAGTTTATATTTAACGTTTTGTTAATTCTATTGCTGGTATACAGTACTTTGTATGTATACTTTTCCTGTGAGTTGGAACCAATTACCCAATATCCCATTGAAATAATAGATTCAGTTAACGAAATTTTTGGTTAACAACCGACTCTGTGGAACCAATTGTGTTCGTTAATCGAGGGACCACTGTATATTTCTATGATTAGAAATGTAGGGGCATACCCAGTTGTCATAGCTCTGAAGAAATCAGTATAGAATGTGCATTTATCATCGATAGCTTCTTCAGGGATAATGCTGATGATAGGAAGCAACTGTGGGTATAGTTCCCCTGCACTGCCTCGGGCTCCTTCCCGCATCACTGAATACATTCGCTTCAAAACTGACTTGTTGTTTTTGTCTCCCCAGAATCCCTGTGAAATATGGAACATTAGTGAACTCTCCAGTATTATCCAATATGAAGTGCATTACCTTGAAAATCATAAAGCCTACAATATAATCTCATTCATTTATGAAAATATCCATTATGAGTATCATCATTTCCTTAAATTCCTTAAGATGTTGTTACATATGTTATTATAGGTTACTGGATTATTGGCTGTTTATGGAATACAACATGTAATGAAAAATAACATCTGTAATGTTGCTGACTGGGTTTCTTTCTGGATATACAGCACAGTATTATAAACATTTTAGTTTATTTAATGTTGAAGCTGAAATACATGAAATATAGACTAATAGTACTACTATATTAATAACATACCAGTATGTGTTTGGCCAGGCCATGCTTCTTTTGCTAAGGCCACCTAGTCTTACCTGATCATAGTTGATGTGTTTCGTGTGCACTGCCAACACAATCTGTTTCAGCCTAGCTACTGCAAAGTTAAGTATGTACAGTACTTTCTCTCCCTTTGTTCATTGTCACTTGGGAGTGCATTTTTGTTGCTTGTTCAAGAACACTGTTAGACTTAGTATTAACAAAATTAATTTCTAAAAAAAAAAAAATTATAAATAAATAAAATAAATAAATAAATAAATAAATAAATAAATAACAATAATAATATATATATATATATATATATATATATATATATATATATATATATATATATATATATATATACAGTGGCCCCTCGGTTAACGAACTCAATCCGTTCCAGAAGGTCGTTCGTTAACCGAAACGTTCGTTAACCGAAACCATTGTTTCAATGGGTTTTTGGGTAATTGGTTCCAGCTCACCGAAAATTTCCTAAATTCAACAAAAATGGTAGAAAAGTTCACTTACTTTGAGGTGAGTATGTAGAAGGCTCCTGGATGATGATGATGGGATTTAGAATGGGGGTGGAGGAGAAGGAAGAAGAGCAGGCATTGGGGTGGAAGAGAAGTCACCCCATGGTGCCATTTCACCCATACAATTTTAGCTCTCTGGTTTAATTCAAGATTATTTTCTTTAAATCAACGCTGCACTGCATTATATATTGTCAATATATAAAATATATTTCAAAATGACCAATAATTTGCTTGGAAACACAGAAAAAAAGCGTTTAGTTGAAGAGAGTCTCAAGCAAGATGTTACCTCCAGTGAAAACAGAGAGAGACTGACGCCTGTTTGCTGTGTTAAGAGGCTGGATGCCGCGCATTAAACTAGTCACTTTACCTTCAATTTTGTTCAATAATTGTTAAAATGACTAAAAAATTGAATATTAAACTTTTAAAATTATTGAATAGTATAAACTTCTTGATATTTACAAAAATAGTAAGGAATTTAAGCCCTAGAACCGATTAATGCATTGGCGGACTGATACTAAAGCTGCTGTCCGTCAGTGCAAGCCAAAACATGTTGAGGTCGGTTCGTAAGAGTTTTGGATGTAAATTTTTTCAAGTAACTGGGTCTGGAAGATCCTTATGGGAAGGCAGTTCGTTAATCGAAATTGACAAGTAACCGAGGTGTTTCGTTAAACTTAGGGTCATTGTATATATATATATATATATATATATATATATATATATATATATATATATATATATATATATATATATATATATATATATATATATATATATATATATATATATATATATATATATATATATATATATATATATATTAACTACTTACGTGTTAATGTAACCCGGAGGGTACCGCGGAAAGCGAGAAACGCGTAAAGTAAATAACATAACATATGGGATTAATTGAAATGGAGTCCAGGCCGATCCCCAAACTCCACTTTTTGACGACACATAACTATGTTGTAGTAAAAATAACATCTTAATTTTATGATGGTACATGCACACAATTAATATTTAAGAGAAATACAGTCGCCAAGTTAATGTCCATTCAAATAATGGACACGACTCCCTCCCCCTCTCACACTACACTGCCGGCTCTTCCCTCTCTGAGAAATTTTGGGGGGAAAACCAGGTATAGTAATAAATAATACCTCAAACTAAAGTTAGGATAATATAATTGACAGTGCTGGATTCCTTGTAAGACCAGGAATATCTTGAATATAAACGTCATATATTTTGCACAAACGATAACATACTTACTCAGATTAAACATTTTATCTAAAAATTTTGTCTAATGCAAAATATATGATGTTTATATTCAAAATGATCACCAAATTGTAAGAATTCCAGCAATGTAAATTATATTCTGGCCGGGTAATTTGTATGAATTTTATGAGCTAAAATAAAAATCTTCAGTTAATAAAAAAAAAAAATATTCTTCACACGGTAACAGATGGTCGGTCGGTCGGTCAGTCCCTCCCTCCCCCCCACCCCCCACCAACGTCCCTACTAGATATATGTGTGGGAATACCAGACTGTTTACCTTTTTAGTAATAAATAATAAATCAGACTAAAGTTAGGATAATATAATTGACATTGCTGGATTCCTTGTAAGACCAGGAATATTTTGAATATAAATATCATATATTTTGCACAAAAGATAACATATTTACTCAAGAGTAAACATTATATCTAAAATTTGTATGTCTAATGCAAAATCTATGATGTTTATATTCAAAATGATCATCAAATTGTAAGAATACCAGCAATGTAAATTATATTCTGGCCGGATAATTTGTATGAATTTTATGAGCTAAATTAAAAAAAATTATACTTTACCGTGTAAAGGGGTACACCCACCGCGGAATGTAAGCATCCTGGGTTCTGGCAGGGCACGGTGTAAACGTGGAAACGCGGAATGTGGGACCGCGTAAAGTGAGGGTTGACTGTGTGTGTGTGTGTATATATATATATATATATATATATATATATATATATATATATATATATATATATATATATATATATATATATATATACACATACATATATATATATTTCATTAGCCCAATAAAGCACGCGGACTTCTACATACAATCAACACCTCAACCCACCAGGATTCGAACCCACGGCACACAAGCCTATGACTGTGACCGGGGAACGCTAACCACTGGACCACCAGGATACTAAAAGCAGTCCTAGACTTTGTTATATTTCACACAAAGCCTGTTCAACGAGCTTATGGCACCGTGAACCTCTAATGGGGACCACCCGTATCACTTAGGTGGTCAGAGTAACGTTTTACCAAATCCGGCTTCGAAACACGAGGATCCATATATATTTCATTAGCCCAATAAAGCATGCGGACTTCTACATACAATCAACACCTCAACCCGCCAGGATTCGAACCCACGGCACACAAGCCTATGACTGTGACCGGGGAACGCTAACCGCTGGACCACCAGGATACTAAATGCAGTCCTAGACTTTGTTATATTTCACACAAAGCCTGTTGAACGAAAGGCGGCGCCGTGAACTCTAATGGGGGACCAACCCGTATCAATGTAGGTGGTCAGAGTAACGCTTACCAAATCCAAGCCAAAACAGGATCCATATATTTCTATTAGCCCAATAAAGCACGCTGACTTTACATATAATACTGACTCTCACCCGTTAGGATTCAACCCACGGACTGCTTTTAGGCATCCTGGTGGTCCAGCGGTTAGTGTTCCCCGTCACAGTCATGGGCTCGTGGTTCAATCCTGGCGGTTGAGTGTGTTGATTGTGTGTGTGGTATATATATATATATATATATATATATATATATATATATATATATATATATATATATATATATATATATATATATATATATATATATATATATATATATATATATATATATGTTAGTAGTATCTCGTTAACGAACCTCAACTGCTCTAGAAGGTCGCTCATAACTGAAGTTCGTTAACCGAAACCATTGTTTCAATGGGTTTTTGGGTAATTGGTTCCAGCTCACCGAAAATTTTCTAAATTCAACAAAAATGGTAGAAAAGTTCACTTACTTTGAGGTGTGTATGTAGAAGGCTCCTGGATGATGATGATGATGATGGGAATTACAATGGGGGTGGAGGAGAAGGAAGAAGAGAAGGCATTGGGGTGGAAGAGAAGTCACCCCATGGCACCATTTCACCCATAAAATTTTAGTTCTCTTGGTGTATTTCAAGATTATTTTCTTTAAATCAACACTGTACTGCATTATATATTGTCAATATGTAAAATATATTTCAAAATGACCAATAATTTGCTTGGAAACACAGAAAAAAGCGTTTAGTTGAAGAGAGTCTCAAGCAAGATGTTACCTCCAGTGAAAACAGAGAGACTAACGCCTGTTTGCTGTGTTAAGAGGCTGGATGCTGCGCTTTAAACTAGTCACTTTACCTTCAGTTATGTTCAGTAATTGTTAGAATGACTAAAAAATTGAATATTAAACTTTTAAAATTATTGAATAGTATAAACTTCTTGATATTTACTAAAATAGTTAGGAATTTAAGCCCTAGAACCGATTAATGTATTGGTGGACTGATACTAAAGCTGGTTGCCCGGCCAGTGCAAGCGAAAACATGTTGAGGTCGGTTCGTAAGAAATTCGTTAACCGAATTTTTGTTCGTTAACCGAATTGAAGATCCTTATGGAAGGCAGTTCGTTAACCGAAATTTCGTTAATCCTATATGCTTCGTTAAATGAAGTTTACTGTATATATATATATATATATATATATATATATATATATATATATATATATATATATATATATATATATATATATATATATATATATATATATATATATATATATATATATATTTTTTTTTTTTTTTTTTGTTGCTGCAAGTTTAATATTTACTGTATCTAATTTGTAGCTTTAAAGTTTCTTAGGTTTAATTAAATGTTTACTATGTTTATTTCTTGTTAATCATTAATTTTGAATGAACTGAATCTATTTCACTGGTGTTTTAAATATCTGGTAAATTACCTTGACATGGTGAACAGTGAAGGATAACGGGAATGAACTGAGAGTAATCACTAATTACGACCAAACCCCCACGATGTTAACAATAATTATGAAATTATATATCAAACAACAATATTAAAAAGTTATAATCTCCTGTAATAATCTGCTAAACCTGTCACCATATTGACCCTATTAAACAGGTCAAGGGTGCATCTTTCAGCACTAAATCAACACATGCGTATAAGGAGAGGGTGAGTGATAAACCACCTTTATCTGATTAGTCTCAATTACTCTAACTAATGGTCTCTGTGTAATGATCATTATATGGGGACTTGTGAATACAGTACATATATTATTACTTGTCCCTGCCACATAATTCCTGATGAATTTATAATAATTCCAAATTTTGGAGGTGTTAATGTGATTGAAAAGTACAGGTGATTCTAAATATCTAGAAAGGTTTAGCAAATGTATGGTGAAACATCTTAATGTACAATGAAAAGAAAGTGTCGGCCTATACATCCATCCTCCCCCAGCAGGCATACTCCACCAAACTCAATTTAACCGTTTTGTCCAACTCTCTGTGTCAGCTACAGGTACCTCCAAAAAATATGAAATACCAGTACTTATACTGTACTATACATTTCTTGGTGCATACAGCATTAACAAATTCCCTTATGCTGCATCTTTACCACCCTCTAAATTCTTTAATAAATGTTTCAAGTGTTGCTTAAACATGTAAACCTGATTCTGTTTAGCTGATGTGAAGCTTAAATGAACCAATTGTCAATGGAAAACTCTTATATGTGCCAATATCTATAAATGTGATAACAGTTAATCATCCATTTCATGCACTAACACCTACAATAAAATTATTTAGAATGCCAAAATATTTTCTGCTTCATCTTAGCAGCATATACTGTATTGATATGTGCTATTACAAATATTTCTAAGTATCAATGGCTGAATACTTACTGGGTGAGCAACACAAAGATGAAGAAAAGCAATCCATATGTGAGATAGCACAGAGCCATCCTGGTCATCTAATGCTGGAAGAATTGTAGCATTAAGATCTTCTGCTGAATTACCTAACAACTGAGGGTCATACTCAAACATGTCCTTTATCGTTGAGAACCACGCACTCCGAACCTGTAATATAAAATCCATCAATAAATTTGGAAATGTCTAGTGATGTCAACATCAAGTTTGTAAACTAACTCCAAATATCAAATATCAAATCCACATTAAGAAGAAATGACTACAATACTTCAACAATAAATCATTTAATCACACTGAATTAAAAAATAAATAATCCTCAATATTGGTAACGTGAATACTGCCTCAATAATAAGAACTATACTTCATAATATCATGGACTGACAGTATGCCTTCATTGTGGCTCTTGTTATGGTACCTCAGATATCTAACTCTAATTCACTAAATTTTTGTAAGATTACACTTTTGATGATCAGTTAATTTAAACAATTCATACAATGACTTCCTAAAACTACAAATATCAAAACAACTATTACACAGAATCTATGAGCTCTTACCAAAGGATGTTTAGTCTTTGGTATTTTCCAGAATGATGGGTTCTGTACAAGGGGCATCACCATAGTCATTATTTGGTCCTGCTTCTCTGAATTTCCAGCAGTGGATGTCAAGAGCAGACTCACGGCATTGAGGGAGCAGGCTAGTACACGGATGAACTTGTTCTTCATGTCCTCGGGGTCGGTCACTCTGATGGGTTAATCAATAAAGGTTATGGACACACTAACGAGGAAACTAACATTTTTGTTTCCTTCCAGCAGCGCAACTGTAGAAAATAACACAACTCAATAAAATGAACTATGCACACTGGTAAAGCTTGGTACTGTACTGCATTTTGTCAGGTAAAAAATCCTACATCAATCTCGAGCCAAAAATTTTGAAACTGCGGATCATCATTTTACTTATTAATACATATTTCTCATCGGGAAATATTATCATTAATCTTCACTTTCCTATCCATCAGTATTTACCTATCAACTGGAACAAACTTACTTTGGGTCTGAAAGTGTCTGAGGAGTCTGCTTGAACAGGTTATCAGTAATGAAGTCCATTATCTCCTTACAGCAGAAGATCATTACCTCAGCTCTTTTCTCTTCAGAAAATGCAGTCTGAGAACAAAATTAAGCAATAAATAAAGTGGCTGACAAGTAAAGAGAGGAATACAGCATAAAAAGGAACTGTTAAGCTGATATTTCAAAGAATCTTGATTCAAGAGGAAGAAGGAAAAGAGAATCAATAGATGCAATATTTATAAGAGTAACATGTGGGGTCAACAGGATATAGAAAATAAGAAATACAGTACACTGTACAGAAAAGTGGGCACTTGGTCCTGAAATTCCATGAACAGGTACAGTATTACAAAACCAAGATTAGGCAACTCTTGAATACTGTAGTCAACAAGTTCACAGGGTCAAAATTTCCAAACCAAGATAATTATGTGATCACTCCAATCAGAAAATTAGTTTACACCTATGGGTGCATGACAACAATTAAGCCCTAAGACATGTGCCAATATATTTTTGTGTAGAAGCCCATAGCCGCCAAGAAAAAGGAGTAAGTCTACTGATCTCTATTCAGGTTACTCGAGTGGCTGAAATAAGGAGTTGATTGTGAAATGGCACTTTACTTCTGAGTACTATGACAATCAAGAAGCACACTGTTGCTTGTGTGTTGGTAAGATTATGCATGACTTGTCTGAAACATAGTTAAGATTATAAAAGGTGTGAAAATGAGAGCTGCATTTAACAAAAAGTTAGCCAGAGTTTGCTAAGATAGTATTGTGTAGATATTGAAACAATGGGAAGTACAGTACTGTATCTGATGTTAGTTGTGGTAGGGATTAAGATACAACAATATATCTCCAAGTGGTTTATGGGTTGGACACAGTGCTAGTCTCTGTGAAGGAACAAATAAACAAATATATCTGTTACTGCAGTAAGAGTAAGCGAATAACAAAGATTTAAAAAAATAAGTATTCATCACTGGTTGTAGCTATCCTGTACAAAATGGGCAGGGATTTGCTGACGAAAAAAAAAATAATAATAATAAATTTAATAAATAAATATAATGGACGAATTAAAGTTTTATCAAGACAGTCACAAAACTGTCCAGCCAGAGAGTTAATATGTTTCAGCATTATGATTCTCTAAATTTTGGTGTACAGTAAGTTGTAATACAATATATCATTAAGTTTTATAAAATTTATATACAGTTTTACCCCGCTTAACGCGCTTTCACTTAACGCGTTTTCGCATATACGCGGTGCCTTGCCAAAGCTGAACTTTCACTTAACGCGGGTTTTTTCCACATATACGCGGTGAGTGTCCGAGACGCTATTTTTAGATTTGCCCCACCCGCCACCCTGCCTGACTGCCTGTTTTAGCTCATAAAATTCATACAAATTACCAGGCCAGAATATAATTTACATTGCTGGAATTCTTATAATTTGGTGATCATTTTGAATATAAACATCATATATTTTGCTTTAAACTTACAATTTTTAGATAAAAAATTTTTCTCTAGGTAACTATGGTATCTTTTGTGCAAAATATATGACATTTATATTCAAAATATTCCTGGTCTTACAAGGAATCCAGCAATGTCAATTATATTATCCTAACTTTAGTTTGAGGTATTATTTATTAAAATTTAGTGGTTATCCCACACATCTCCTTGGGACGGTTGGTGGGGGGTGGGGGGGAGGGAGGGACCAACCGACCATCTGTTACCGTGTGAAGAATTATTATTTTTTTTTATTAACTGAAGATATTTGTTTTAGCTCATAAAATTCATACAAATTACCCGGTCAGAATATAATTTACATTGCTGGAATTCTTATAATTTGGTGATCATTTTGAATATAAACATCATATATTTTGCTTTAAACTTACAATTTTTAGATAAAAATTTTTCTCTAGGTAACTATGGTATCTTTTGTCCAAAATATATGACATTTATATTCAAAATATTCCTGGTCTTACAAGGAATCCAGCAATGTCAATTATATTATCCTAACTTTAATCTGAGGTATTATTTAATACTAAATGTTAAAAACTCTGGAAGGGAGGATTGGTGGGGGGTGGGGGGGAGGGTTGGGACTGACCGCGCGGTTGGAAGAGGGGGGAGGCAAGGTGGGGTACTTTGACAGATAGTGTCGTGAAGATTATTTTTTTTTATTAACTGAAGATATTTGTTTTAGCTCATAAAATTCATACAAATTACCCGGTCAGAATATAATTTACATTGCTGGAATTCTTATAATTTGGTGATCATTTTGAATATAAACATCATATATTTTGCTTTAAACTTACAATTTTTAGATAAAATTTTTTCTCTAGGTAACTATGTTATCTTTTGTCCAAAATATATGACATTTATATTCAAAATATTCCTGGTCTTACAAGGAATCCAGCAATGTCAATTATATTTTCCTAACTTTAGTTTGAGGTTATCCCACACATCTCCTTGGGACGGTTGGTGGGGGGTGGGGGGGGAGGGAGGGACCGACCGACCATCTGTTAGCCGGCTGTGTAGTGTGAGAGGGGGAGGGAGTTGAGTCCATTATTTGAATGGACATTAACTTGGCGACTGTATTTCTCTATTTCTCTTAAGTATTAATTGTGTGCATGTACCATCATAAAATTAAGATGTTATTTTTACTACAACATAGGTATGTGCCTTCAAAAAGTGGAGTTTGGGGGTCGGGCCGGTTTCTATTGGAATTAATCCCATATGTTCTGTTGTTCACTTAACGCGGATTTCACTTAACGCGGGACCCTCTGGGTTCAATTGACCGCGTTAAGTGGGGTACAACTGTATTATATTTTCATAAAATATAATGCTTTTACTGTCAACAGATGACATCATATTACACATGCTTTTCTTAACTACACTGGATCAGAGTATAACTAGTATGGACAAAATTCTATTCTACTTCTGTGTTCTTTGGAACATTTCACAATTACATCTTTCCCAAAATTAGCTTCATAAAATTGACTTTCAAGAAAACAGCATATGATGCAGACTTGGGAACAAAAGAGTTAAATGTCTGCCAGAAAGGTTCACCATGGAGATAAGTGAAGGAATGGCTACTGAGGACAGACTAAGGCAGGTGTTACTCTTGGATACCTGAAAGAGTGATGCTCCAGCTGAAGAAACAAAAGAACAATGACACAGCACACATAAAAATCTTAAACTTAGAATATTTTAGAGCTTCTTGCAGAGCACTAACCTGGAAAGCTTTTGTTGCAGCAGTGGCGGCAGGAGGATAAGGATCCGCCATGGCTAACATCCATGATGGCATGATGGACTTGAGGTGTGGAGCTAACTGCTTCCCTACTTGAGTCACCAAAGCACCATGTGCTACCTGTGTTGCTTCTCGTACCTATAAAATAGCACTAGGGCATATAAAAATGATTTTGTGAAGCTTGCTAAATGACAAGAATTTCTTCAGAGAAATATCATTCACTTTATAAAAAGAGAAGAGAAGAGAGAGAGGACACTATCTCATTTGTCAAAGTATCTAATTTTGCACAGTTTTATATCTTGTACCTGCCCTATACAGCACAGTAAAGGCAAAATAGCTTCATATAAAGAAGCATTGTTCCAACCCATACTTTTCACTTATTCTGGGTTCTAAAAGACTTCGGGTATCCTACCTGGCCTCCTTACCTTGGCACGACCACCTCTAGTATGAGTGGTCATTTTTCACAACCTCTCAATTGATGCATACAAAGATCACTTAAATTCAAATACACTATGTTTAAGGAACCTTGCCCCATACAGGTTGACAACCCCTTATCCAAAATTCCGAAACCCAAAAACCTCTAAAAACCGAAAGTTTTTTTTTGTGGAGCAAAACTTTTTTTTAAACAGGGATTAGCCCAACCGGGTACAGGTCAGTGACCCACATCGGGGCCTGGGGGGTGAAAATGTAATACAGTATACTAATTATTATAATAATAATAATAATAATAATTATTCATAGTAAATAAAAATTTTAATAAATTATACACAAAAATAAAATAATAATGATAACAATAATAAAATAATAATAATAAAATTAATAATAATAACAATAATACTGTAATAATATAATAATAAAATAATACTCTATAATAATAATAATAATAATAATAATAATAATAATAATAAAGTGGGGTATGCTATAACGAATGGATTCTACTACGAATATTCCTATAACGAACGGCTTTGCCTATAAAATTGAGAATGCTATAACGAACGAAACTCCTACAACAAGAGTATTTTTTTTATACTAATTTATTGTTTTTTATTACAAGTATTATTGATATTCTTTATTTCAGGAGTTTAGATGCATATTTATGCACTTCTTTACAATTTTTACAATTTTATATTATATTTTTCAGTGTTAAGTGGTTGTATTTGGGGGCCTGGAACGGATTAATCCTATAACAAACGAATGCTATAACGAACAAGGTTCTAGAACCAATTAGATTCGTTATAGCATACTATATATATATATATATATATATATATATATATATATATATATATATATATATATATATATATATATATATATATATATATATATATATATATATATATATATATACACACACACACACACACGCACAAGTCAAAATAAGTTTTGATTAATTCAGATACCCAACATTATTTGGAAATGTACAATTTATAACAGCTCACCGTGGCTCCCAGGTTGAGAACCACTGTACTAGATAAAACAGAATTAATTTTGTTAGCTTCAAACTAGTTTTTTTTATTTCATAGTATGATAAAAGGCATTAGCTATCCCTCACTGTAAAAGCTCCCAGTAATTCACTAACACTTACCCTCCTCTCGACATCTATTGATAACTTGGTGTACAGCCGTGGCCAAAAAGGAAGTGCAGATAAAATGGATTCTTGATCTTCATTCTGACACAATACTTCAAATTCTTGTAATGCCTGAAATACAAAGGACAGCTATATCTATTACTGTATAATTACAGTAGTGACCACTTGTAATTATGTAGTGAACTGAATGGGACTGTGAATGAAAGAAGTGAAAAGATACACTGAATATGGTAATAAGCGTTCATAATAGAGAAAACAGAGAGATAATACATGAATCTCTAACTTTCTCTACTTATTATAATGTAGGAAATGTTATTATACTGTATTATATAAAGTACTGTACAAGTACTTCTAATAAATGCTGGTTACATTTTTCTTTGCCTTTACAAACCTCTTTTCTACTTTCCATTTTCATCTAAATTCTAATTCTTTTCCTTCACTTCACAAGGACTTCAACAGTCACACAAAATCAATCAGTCTTACTAGAATACTGCCTGTACTGTATTACTGACCTTAATTTTTGTTGTGGAATCCTTTTTCGTCATCTTTCGCAACGTAACTCTAAATTCAGCAGATATTGTGCTGTCATCAGCTTGTGTTGCTGCCGGCACATAGCCCAAGTCTTGCAAGGCACTGAATCCAACAAAGCCTGAAACCCCACCTAGTAGTTCAGCTGTTCTTCCACTACTGGAGGGCTGTGCAGGATATACCAAAACAATATCAGCATTGAGAGAAGGGAGGAAATACTAAGATAGTGTTGCAAGCAGAGAGTTAAATGTGATTAGAATGGTCTTAAACTTGACACACTACTGTACAGTGCGGTATATCAAGACTTTCTCATATTCTTCACTTGCACAAAAAAACATTATATATTCCCTAGTAAAAGTAATACTGTACTGGTATGTTACCTATATTCCTTTCTCACATAAGTGGGCTGTAAAAGATGCAGTACAGGTATAATGGACGAGTTGTTGGTGCTGAGTAAACACAAGAAATACACTCTGCCACATTCGTAGAGTTTAAAGTCCTGCTATAATAGTCGAGATAAGTTTATTTCTCGAGAAACAAGGCCGTCACTTGCAATGACGTCACCACCTTCCCGCAGACGATGGCCTCTTCAGACCCCAAATGCCACGTTCGGGTAAGTTTTAAGGGTGTTTTTTTTTATGGTCTAAGTCATGGACATTTCGAAGTGAAGAAATGTACTGTGAAGAGCAGGTTATGGACATAAAAAAACTCCCATGTTCAAACCAGCTCAGCTGTCATGTATTCTTACCTGGAAGACTTTCTCTTTTTTTTTTTGCAGTGCATATACAGAATACGGTGATATCTCCGTTAGCCGGAATCCCTCAAATCCGGAACCCAAAAGAGCCAGAATTGAGAAAATTTTCCAGATACCCGGAAAATTCTGGGGATGGGGGATATTTTCCGGGTTTGGGAGATGATATAATGGGCAATTTCTGGAACGTCTGAGAAATTTTTTCCATTACCCGGAAAATTCTGGGGATAAGGGACATTTTTCCGGGTTCGAGAGATGATGTAATGGGTAATTTCTGGAACTTCTGAGAACATTTTTCTGTTACCCGGAAAATTCCGGGGATGGGGGATTTTTTTTCGACTTTGAGAGAATCGTCTCGTTACCCAGAAATCTCTCATCCCAGGAAATGCTCTGTACCAATTGTTCCGGCTAACGGAGATATCACTGTACAGTCATGCGCCGGTTAACGTCCAACCGAACAACGTCCGATTGAATATACATCCGTGCCCCCCCCCCCAAAAAACTTCCGTGACACCTGCTGGACCACCACTCCACGACCCCCTGAAGGAGACACGATGATCCTTCCCATACTGGCCAGATATTGTGTGTTAAAGGAATATCCTTCCTTAGGCCTTAGTAAGCATTTGCCTCCAGGTGTAATGTTAACCTACATCTATTGAGGATAAAATCTTTCAACTACAAATTGACAATAACACATTTGCTGTAATCAGACATATCTAGTTGCCTCAACAATTGCAACCCCAGCTGCAATTGGGGTTGCAATTTCAAATTGTGTCATTACTAAGGAATAACAAAGTCTCTGGTGCACTGCACTCTAAGATTAAGAGAGAAAACGGACTCAGGCGTCCTGAAGCGAGAGAAAATGGACTCCTATGATGGGGGACACAAGCACTCACACGTGCCACTTATACTGACAGACTTGACACTCACTTACTTGACAAGTTTTACCAACCATTAGTTGTGTACGTTATCTAGTGAATTTAGTCAATATTGTACAAGTACACTGCAATACAGTGGTCCCTCAGATAACAATGGACCTAAGTGCAAACCTGTACTGTACATGTACTAAATGATTACGGTACTAAAATTTTTATGTCTATTGCAAATATAGATTATTTATACAGGTATTCAAATAAATTACTATCTTACAAGAATCCCAGGAATGTAAGTTATATTCACCCAGGTCGTTAGGGTGGCAAATTATGAGAAGAGCTTAGTCACTCTTAAGGAATGATAAATAAACACCCAGGCCTTCAGCGCCAACTGTCAAATCATATCGCCTCACCTCCCGCTCCCCTCCCACCCCACACTCCCTTGCGTGGGGGGTTTTAGGCCTTAAGTTTTTCATATAATATCTCAGACTATAGGAGAATATAATTTGCATTGCTGAAATCCTTGCAAGACAGAGATTAATTTAAATATAAACGTCATATATTTCGCTTGAGATAAAAATTGTAGTACATTAGTGTACAATACTGTAGTACATTTTATAATATAAAGTTTTTCAGCTGTATTTTTGGGTAGATTTACATAAATTTCTAAATTTATTTTCATCCATTTACAGGCATACACCATACTAAAAGAAACGTAAAAGAAATAAATGACCTTAGTGCAAAGCTGGAGTGCACATGTACTAATTTGATTACTGTACTAAAATTGTTATGTCAAGTGCGAATTATAGGTTGTTTATATTTAAATTAATCAACATCTTACAAGAATCCCAGCAATGTAAATTATATTCACCCAGGTCATTTCACTGGTTTTTAATAAGAGAGAAGCTTAGTCACTTAAGAACTGATAAATAAACACGCGTTCGACCTTGGGCGCCAACTGTCAAACATACAGTGGGGTATGCTATAACGAACGGATCCTACAGTACTTCAATTATGTTAAATATGTGTTAAAATTACTAAAAAATTTAATATAAAACTTGGAAAATTATTGAATAGTACAACCTTCTTGATATTTACTCAAATGGGAACGAATTTAAGCCCTAGAACAGATTACTGTATTGGCGGACTAATATTCCAGCTGGTGAGCAAGCGAAAACATGTTAACATGATTTCGTAAGAATTTCGTTACCGAATTTTTGTTCGTTAACCGAATTTAATATTCTTATGGAACGTAATTCGTCAACCGAAAATTTCGTTAAGCGAGGCGTTCGTTAACCGAGGGATCACTGTATTAGCCAAAGTAAGGTAAAGTTAGGTAGGTTTCTCTGGTGGGCGAGATCAGGTTCTACAAGTATTAGGTTCTGTGCATTGTCATATCATTTTTAGGTTTTATTTTACTTTAGGACATTGCGTGCCCCAAAGTTATAAACTACTGAAACATTTAGATCTCCCTATTCAAAGCATTTTGAACCCCATTTTATCATTCGCAAATGGAAAATAGCGACAAATCAATTTAATGGATTTTACGTAACTTTCAGTCTTCATCTCTGCGAAGAGATGTTATCTGCAATGTTGACTGATGTCATCTAGTCGTGACAATTTATGTAACGATCTCATCAGGTTTTATTTTTTTTAACCAATCTCATCTGAATTTTTTCAAAGGGAGCAGCCTGGGTACAGATTTGAATTTCAATCACCAGTCTGACAATGGCCGTGGTGGAGGTTGGGTGTGATTCGTGCTCCTACGATTATTTTAAGTTTATTGCCTAATTTTACGAGAAAGACGATCATGCTATCCAATTCCTAATCATGGTGTTCTCCCTACGTCTGTCGAGTGGCCGCACTGTAAATTGCCTTGTAAATTTAGAAAGGACAAGCACCAGTGGTTCTATAATTGGTCAAGGAGGTACGTAAAGAGGAAGAAAACGAAGATTTGCCAATATCTTACCTCGGACTATAACGGCACTTTCCTTGATTAAAATTACTGACCGAGGGGTCCGGGGAGCTTAGGCAACATTTGGTTAGGTTAGGTTAGTTTAAGCTAGGCATACCGGGGGTCAGGGGCAGAGCACCTGGCTAGGGGTTAGGTAAGGTAACATTAGGTTATGTTATGCTAAGTTGTTAGGTCAGATTCGTTTTAAACACACCAAATTACACTGGAAAAACATATTAGTCAACCCCTAGGTGTTAGCCGTCTGCCCCATGAGTACACCCTGAAATTGTTTAAGGAAAATATAACTCACAATTGGGGTCATATATAAACACCTAAAAACATTCCCGGTAAATTACATTATTACCGTGACCATATTAGACTCACATATCCACCATTACTCACCTTTTTGTTGCCTTTAGTTCGCTGAGCAGTCTTGTCCTTCCCCATACTGGTGAGGCATCAGAGGCTACTGTTGACGCGTCTGGTGGTCATCTGTGTTGTGAGGTGAACCAGTGTTACCACAACTGATGCAAGCCTTGACCCTCCCACCAACCAATCACAATAACCTTGGCAAAAGGGAATAAAGAAATGACAGTTATGATTGGTAGAACTGTGATAAAAGTTTTGTTAAAATAACACCGCGAACACATCCACGGGCTCATTTGTTTTCGATAGTATGAAATATGGAACAAAGTTATTTACATATGTTTATTCAGAATCTCAATAAAACTCTCATTGAAAATTAAATTTAGGTTAATGTACAATGATTTAGATTATGGTCACATGCATCTATCATCTTGAGAGCTATCCTCATAATTTTAGGCATATTAAAAATGTAGCATTATTCATCTTGAGGTTGTACGTGCTGTACATGTGATTCATCAATATATTGGTCATATAAATATGAATTTATACCATTAATCAGCAAAGACTATGGGCAACTTCGTTTAATCAAGATGGAACATTTATTTTACTATGTAATGTCCAAAAAACTACTAATACCTTAAGCTTAGAATGAAGTTAAAGTAAACAGTTAATTTTAACACATGACGTAATGTGTTATATTTTTAAAAAATTTTCCTAAAAGGGACAATTACGTATCGTGACAGGCTAATCCCTTAGATTAGATTAACCTAAACAAGGGCGGATCCAGGGGGAATCCTGGGGGTCTGGACCCCTTTTCATCAGGAAATACCAATACTTTTTCTTTAATGCATATTGGTCAAATTTCATTTTTTTCTGGGGGCTCACAACTCTAACTCCGAAAAAGTTGGCCCTCACAGTTTTCTGGACCTGAAACTTCTTCAACCTTGAGCTATAAGAACATAAGAACATAAGAACATAAGAAAATAAGGAGTCTGCAATAGGCCGGTTGGCCTGTGCATGGCAGCTCCTGTCGAGAGTTACTACCACTCTCTATCATCCATGAATCTATCCAGCCTCCTTTTGAAACTTTCCAGAGTTCCCGCACTTACTACAAAGTTGCTAAGCTTGTTCCACTCGTCCACCACCCTATTTGTGAACCAGTTCCTTCCTATCTCCCTCCTAAACCTAAACTTATCCAACTTGAATCCGTTGCTCCGAGTCCTATAACTCCTTGTGGGGCGAGCATCCACCAGCTTCAGCTCCAGCTCCAGTGAAGAGGATAACTTTTTTACTTTTATTCTCTTCACACTGATCAGGTCGTTAGCTGCTTGGGCGATCGGTCACGTCTCTGTTACACTGTTGGCAAGTACTGGGCATGCACCGGCTCCTGAATGTACCTGAACCTGCTACAGTGTTGGTCAAGTCTTGTCTTGAAAGAGCTCACACTCGGTGCCGTCACAATACTGTCTGGTAGATTGTTCCAAGAGTTCACAACTCTCACTCCGAAAAAGTTTGCCCTAACAGTTTTCTGGACTTGCGGCTTCTTCAATCTTGAGCTGTGACCCCTTGTGGGGCGAGCGTCCGCCAGCTCCAAGTAAGGATACTCGGCTGAGTAGTGCCCCCTGAGATGCTTATACACCTCAACTAGGTCACCCCTTGCCCGTCTGTAGTATAAGCTAGCTACCTCAGGGTAGCTGAGGTGGCGAAGTGCAGGCACCAGTCTGGTAGCCCTCCTTTGAACATTTTCAACCAACTTGCCGCCGATACAAAGGGAAGGATTAACGTCTCCAGTAGCTGCAAAACCATGCAGTCTCGGGTCATATCAGTTCATGTACAGCCGACCAATCCACCAGTTACAAGCAATTCACTTCAGTTCTGCACAAGTCTCCATCGTGACAAGAAGAGGGGAGGCTAGACGACTTTTAAGTTCTCTTGTGTTTTCGATCCAGTTATTTACTTCGTTGGAAGACATAATACTATAAGGTAAGAAATATTAAAGTATTGGTTAAAAAATATTGATGTGACTTTTGCTGCGGTACTGAGATTAAATATTAAGATTTTGTTTCACAGTATTGCGATTTTATACTAAGACACTATCCTCACTGGGGTACAGACAAAAGCCCCACGACAAAAGCCACCCAGACAAAAGCCCCCCAGACGTGAAAAGAAGACCCCCTTGAACTTTTGCAGTTTATTCAAAAGTATAACCTTGGGAACTCGGTTCCAAATATAGTAATAATGCTTTGGATTTTCCTCACAATTGCTGTTAGTGTTGCTACCTGTGAGAGGAGTTTTTCGAAATTAAAACTGATCAAGAATTACTTAAGATCTACTATGAGCACCTTGCGGTTGAGAAATCTTGCCATACTGTCTATAAAGCGACAATTGACAGATGAAATAGTTTTTGACAATGTCATTGAAGAATTTGCCAACAAAAAAACAAGAAAAGTTACTTTGTAGAAAGTTGTAGTTTTCATTTCAGAAATAAAGATGGTCCTAATTTTTTACACTTTTTTTTACTTTTTTCCCTATCCTATATGTCGTTTTTGCTTTTTGTTTAACTGTTACTTATAAAGATTTAGTATGTTTGGGGTGTATTTAAAGCATACTATATTTGAGTATGTGAAAGAACAGTAATATTATAATGGTACACAAACTATTTAATATATATATATAAATAAGAGTGAGTCACTGTGCAATATGTATTTTTTGTGGGGGCACAGGGGGGGGCGGCTAACTCAAGGGCCGCCCCGGGCGGCACACACTCTAGCTACGCCACTGAGCAGCGTGGTGTAGAGAGCTGGTTGGTGAGGGGCTTGCTCGGAGGAGGTGTTGCGTGCTGCGTGGCTGTAGGTAGAAGAAGGAGCAGGTCACGGCGAGGCGAGATCTTATATAACGGAGGTAGGCGTGGCTTGATAGTTGACCTCCTCTTTGTTAGGCGGCGCTAGTAGCCGACCTTAGACCACGAGGAGTTGGCTGGGGAATTCGAAAAGGGTTCGGCTAGTCAGCGACAACGGCAGTTGTAGTTGTAAGGAAAATATCCACTACAATATTTCGGGGAGACAGTACTCCAGATGGGGAAGCAATTCACTCTTGAAGATCATTATGAGGGACTGAGTAGGCCTCTGCTACCTACAAATGTTAGCTTTGAAGGTTGGTAAGGTATGGTTAGATACGTTTCCATGGCTCTTTATTTCGGATTTTGTTACTTAAGTAAAAGTATTGTTACGTTTACTTTTACCTTTATCCTCTTCACCACTGCTTGGCTTGTTACCGCTTGTGCGATTGGTCACTTCTCTTTTTATTTCTTTATTTTTTTTTACGGGGAGTAGCCCACTCGGGCACAGGTCACTGACCCACATCGGGGCCTGGGGGGCGAAAATGTAATAATATTAATGATAATAATAATAATAATAATAATAATAATAATAATAACAATAATAATTCATACTAAATAAAATTTATAACAAATATATTTTTTTAAATAAAATAATAATGATAAAAATAATAATAATAATAAAAATAATAATAATAATAATAATAAAATATTAATAATAATAAAATAAAAAAGATCAAAAGTGAGAAACAATATATGTATGTTGTGTTGTCAATAGTAAGAGAAACAATTGAGACCCTGCAATTGTGTGTAAATGAGGCAGAAAGTCAGATCAGCAACCTGGGATTTGGTCAAAATTTTCGTGATGCCATATGGCAGCAGGGTCTACCATTAGACCATACATTATGCTTCCAATATCTTCCCAGGCGGTAGTACCTGGCTCCTGAATGTATCTGAACCTGCTCCAGTGCTTGTCAAGTCTGGTCTTGACAAGCTCAGAGCCTCACACTCGGTGCCGTCACAACACTCTCTGGCAGATTGTTCCAAGAGTTTACAACTCTCACTACGAAAAGGTTAACCCTCACTCGGTTACGGTAGGTGGTGAGGATAAGTTAGATGAATAAAATATTAAGCATGGTACTGTGGGGTAAGTGATGTTTGTGTTCTCACTCAGGATGGGATGGAGAAAGGAAACTCACAATGTGCTCTCTATATACATGTTGTATTGGATGTACAATGCAGCTTGGTGCTGGGAAGGCAGCATGGTTACAAGCGTGATGTAGAGAGAGCTGGTTGGTGAGGATGCTCAGAGGAGGACCAGCTTGTGGGTCGCCATGCTCGCCGGCGGGAGCGAGGGCCGCCAGGCAGGAGCGGAGTTGGTGGTGTTACATGAAGACTGGCTGTTGGTAGAAAGAGAGAGGTCACCACGAGGTAAGGTCTTATATAGCGGAGGTAGGCGTGGCTTAATAGTTGACCTCCGTGATGTATGGCGGCGCTGGTTGACCTAGACCACGAGGCATACACTGGGGAATTCGCTGGGTCGGCTACTCAGCGACAAACAGCGTTTGTAGGGGAGGTATCCACTACAGTACCTCAGCTACCCTGAGAGATTAGAGCGCCTGAAATTACCTTGCTTATACTACAAGACGGGCAAGTGGAGACCTTATTGAGGTGTATAAGCATCTCAAAGGGCACTACTCAGTCGAGTGCCCTTACCTGGAGCTGGCGGACGCTCGCTCCACAAGTGGTCACAGCTCAAGGTTGAAGAAGCCGCAAGTCCAGAAAACTGTGAGGGGTAACTTTACCAGAGTGAGAGTTGTGAACTGTTGGAACAATCTGCGCCAGAGAGTGTTGTGACGGCACCGAGTGTGAGCTCTTTCAAGACAAGACTTGACCAACACTGGATCAGCTTCAGGTACATTCAGGAGCCGGTGCATGCCCAGTACTTGCCAACAGTGTGTAACAGAGACGTGACCGATCGCCCAAGCGGCTAACGAGCCGATCAGTGATAAAGAGGATAAAAGTAAAAGTAAAATGGTTAGTTTTGGTAGTTGCTAAGGTTAGATAGATTTTAGTGGTTAGGTTAGGTTTGCAAAAACAGGTTTTAGTGGTTAGGTTTGCAAGAACAAAATAATACAAGTAGATTTATGGTTGATAAATTTGGGATATTATATCACTGCACGAGGATTCGGCATACACTTTGTCAACGTTTCATTTGATAAAGTCCTTCCTGTGGAAACATTGGGAATAAAGTTGTCTCTGAGTTTGTGCTTCCTTTACAACCATTTAATCATAAGTACGTAATTAAACTTGAAAATCTGACGGAGAGTATATTTAGCTGTACAATTAGGTAAACTTTTATTAGTTACATCAGTATTTTTTTTATTCCATTGTACTTTCCCTCACAGCCCACTTATCAGAACTCATCAGCAGCATTTTTACTTTACTTTTACTTAACCTCTTCACCGCTGAACGGCTCGTTAGCCGCTTGGGCCTGTAGGGAAGGGTCGCATTTTAACGTTTATAATATTCATATTGCGGTTCAACAACTAAGATCTTGAAGCGCATACGTAATTTTGAATCATTATAAGTAAGAACGCCTGTAGGAATTAAGGGCCACAACAGTTGAGCGAGTGTTTGTGTGGCGACGAGACACTTTTGTGAGGTAGTTGTAGGAATAATACTTCTGGATATAATTTAGAAATACCTGGTACAGTATGTTCATAGTTTGGTCAAGTTAATTTAGTCGCTGTAGGTCGAGGATACTGTAGTGGGAAACGTCATTGGTCTTTGAACATTATCAGTGGTCGGTACTCGAGGGAGGCCGCAATCACCCTGAGCTAATGTGTATCGTAATGTATATTCCAAACAAATCTTAATTTTTCTTTAAATTTGTGGTATAAAATGATTTATTTCTTATATGGATACCGAGTGTATATATATTTATGATTTATTACGCAATATTGGTATTTTAATATATTAATTATCTATAGCTTCTGTAATAGTATTAAATTTTTACCAATTGGTGATTTAATAATAAAGAAATATACAAAAAATTTATATTATTTACTAAAACTAGATATCATTATATTAAATGAATGTAAAGGCGCAATATAAAAAAAAAATAAATATTATCATCATGACTAAACAACCATGTTAGTGACAATAACACCTGAGCCCCCCAGTGTGACCAAGGCACTGCAGGTGAAGAATACTGTTAATACTTATCAACTATGTCAGATTAATGTGTTCACCTTATTATCAGTGTTAGGTAACGTTTCTTCCATATATTATAATTGTAAATGGCTGTGATCTATCGTTGGTGTTGTAATTTAAGAAGGGAAGTAAGGCTCCCGGCATAACACAATGTTTACATAATGTAGTAGTAGTTTATGTGAAGTAATTAGGCATATTTGTTTTATTTGGTGGGTTTGTATTTCATAAATTCCCCAATAAGGGTTGGTAAATTTATCGTAGTTTACACAACACTTAGAAAGTAAAAAAATCTATGTTTTTCTAGTGTTTTTTTTTTTGTGTTTTGATTAGTGCTGACCTTGATTACCGTCGGCAATTACCTGTTTTTTTTAGTTATCGCCCCCTTCTACCCCAACAAGATAGGGGCTACTGTTGGGAACCGGGGTTATGGGTGGTGCGTTTTCCGACAAAAATCATGGCTAAGTGAATACAAAATACAAAGAGAAACAATAGAAAAAAACATATAAACCTAACGTCACCTGACCTGACCTGACCTAATCTAACTCTCATGGTGATTTTACATAACCAAACTCTCACCATATGAAGGATTACTGTTATTTCTTACCTTATTGGCCTGGTTCCGGTTCGCCGCCGTTATCAGTGACGGTGTACTTGGGAATAAGGAACGAGTTGGTACACTGCCAATTATGTTGGTCTTGACGATATTTACACTCGTTATTACACTTAAGACACTTTATTGAGGTCGGGAGAACACTATGAAATCTAAAAAATGCTATTGCTTGTTCGTTTTTACGCGCACTTAACTCCATATAAATGAAGTGACACCCGTCGCAGACTTCTCTGGTCGGAAATGAATTTGAATTTTGAAATATGAGACTCAAAATCGAATCTGATTGGGCAAAAAATACCGCAAATTCTAAAGGCAGAAACCACAATTCATTTTAATTGGGGGGAAAAAAAAAAAAGCTTTTGATTGGCCGCGTAACGTGTATGGGAACGCATGCGTGTGACGATTTATAAAGGGAACACGCTGAGTGGGAGGTCGGGTAGAGGCAGTCGATGATGACATGCCATATTCTTTACAGAGTGCATTGGTTCTAATGCCTTCTTCATGTTTCATAATAATTTCTGTACTGTATATTATCAATATGTTAACTAAATTTCAGAATGACCAATAATTTTGATGTAAAAATGCAAAAATATTCAAGAGACCAATAAACTGGAAGTTCACTCCACTGTAAACAAAGTTAAACTGAGAAGTGTTGGTGGCCGATTCGATCAGCTGAAGGGCACACAAAAACTGATCCCTATACTGTATATGTTATCAACACGTGAACTAAATTTCAGAATGACCAATGATTTTAGTATAAAAAATGCAAAAATATTCAAAAGCACAACTTTCTTGATATTTACTCCACTGGAAACGAATGTAAACAGAACCAATTACTGTATTGGCGGACTAGTCGATCAGCTGATGCACACAACAAGGCGTGTTTCTCATAAGGCTGTCGTTAATCAAAGTTTTATTCGTTAATGAAACTGGAAATCCTTATGGGAGCTAATTCGTTAAGCAAAACTTCGTTAATTGAACCGTTCGTTAATCGAGGGACCACTGTATATTGGATAGGACCTAAAACAAAGCGTATGGTGTGAAAAAATTGAAAAGGATTGCGCCTAGTTGAAACCAGCTTTGGCTCGGCCCATTTTTGAGTGGGTGCTGTCGAATTTCATTAGGTGTTTTGGTGACTTTGGTGCAACAGTATTGATAATTACTCAAATATGATTAAAACTTTAATATCATTACTCATAAGATATACTTTAAATAAGGGTGAACAAGTTGATTACAGTTCTATACGTGCTAAACTGAAGACTTAAACGAGCCTGAAAATTGTCGTATTTCGTGTCAAAATATGAGAAAACATAGCCGTGAGAGAAGAAGCATACAGCTGCTCTAGTCTTTTCGTGTGGTTCCAATGTCCGAGAAATTTCCTTTACAACGGGCGTGATTTTATATGTTATTCTTATTTATTGTTGACTGACTTTTTTTCCTTTGTTGTCTTTCCATAATTTTCTATATATTTTCTTCACTATTTCTTTCCGTATTGTGTTCAAATAACAGTTCTCTTAATTTTACTATTTTCTGAAGACTGTGTTGTACAACAGTTATTCCAAAGACGCGGTACAATGTCAAATTTTTTTAATGACTGTCCGGGAAAGCTAACGCGTTAGCTATTTCGTGCAGCTTAAAACGCCATACAATAAATGCCACTATTATTGGGCAAGAGTTTTTTGTCTTGGCATGAGCAAGGGTTAGGTTAGGGTAGGTTAGGTTTAGTTTTGTTGGTTGGTTGGTATTTGATTTATGTGATTAGGCGAGAAAAAAATAAAACTTTTCCCGTTAAGATTGTGGGGGGGGGAAATAGTGATTTTTGGCGGAAATTAATATCATGTTCGTTCGAAACTCATCAAATTCCATAGGAAAAACGTATTTCTAATATCAAAAGAAAGATTGGTGCCAGATGTAAACAAATCATGGAGACACTTGTGACTGATGAAATCTAATAATATTGAAAAATTAATATCTCGGTTATCCTTAATTTCCAGCGGAAATATCATAGAAGAAAAAATGTCTAAACATTACGAAATGCATATTAATAACAGCGAAAGAAAGACTGGTGTAAGACTATATATTTACTGAAAACTGCATTCCTAGGTTTTGTTGCTTTTTCAACCAATTTGATTTTGACTTCAGCCTCTCGAGCCATTTCCTGGACCCTCCACTGCTGATTTAGGTATTCATTCTAGGTTTGGTTAAGTTGGTTTTCAGTATGAAAATCGAATAAAACTCTATCACGAGACCCATGTTGGTTGAAAATGCAAATTTATCCATTCATAATTAAAGAATATCCCAAAACAGGTGGAGGAATTTTCATTATTTTGTTTTTCCAGCCAAAATCTGTGGTTATAATTTTTGTAGTGATGCGCTAACAGAAAGCCTCCAGCATTGTACGTGCTACATATACATATTGAAATGGTTTTCCTTCACTGGATTTGATTTTAGATGTGGCTTTATCTGAAGAAGAAATACTAAACTTTAACATTTTATTCTTTCCATTGACATCAGATCAAACTCGGGGACACTAAGACATCAACATTCCCACTGTTGAAATATCATGAATCAGTGTCTTTCCACTGCTTCACATAGTGATCCTGTGAGCCTTAATAACTGAAAACTACATGTAGTTTATTTTTAGCCTCTTTAACCACTCTCAATACAGTACAACAGTGTACTGTATGTTGTTTTTAGTTTAATTTTCTTTATAAACTAAAGCACGTGTTATTCTCACCAAAATGTCAAGGATTCTAGCCTCGGACCAGACACAGGTTAGAAGGGTGTTATCCAGTGTGACTTTCACTGCCAAACATCACAGGTTTCCTGGCCCCCAGATTCCTGCTGTACTAACACTGGATAGCCCAACCGCCCAAATGGCTAGTAAGCTGATAAGTTTCGAAAATGAAACAAATACAGTACAGTACATATACAGTATAGGTATGGGACCATTTATCCGGCGTGCTTGAGACCTTGGGGTTACCAGATCATATTTTTGTCTAGAATTTGGAGCACTAGGCCTTAAATATACAAAATATACAGAAAACCCTCTGTAACTGGCTGCGAAGCCTCTGTTCAAATCACTAGACTCACCCCTAAAAGTAGCTTTAACTGTACACTGTAGCATTAAAACTTAAAATTGTAGACATACAGTGATCCCTCGGTTAACGAACGCCTCGGTTAACGAAATTTCGGTTTACGAATTACCTTCCATAAGATTCTTCACTTCGGTTAACGAAAAAATTTCGGTTAACGAATTCCTTACGAATTTTTCCCAACATGTTTTCGCCTGCATTTGGCTGCTCACCAGGTGTAGTATTAGTCCGCCAATACAGTAATCGGTTTTAGGGCTTAAATTCTTTACCATTTTAGTAAATATCAAGAAGGTTGTGCTATTCAATAATTTTAAAAGTTTTATTTTAAATTTTTTAGTCATTTTAACAATTATTGTAACATAATTGAAGTATAGGAAACTAGTTTTTTGCACTCCAAACAGCCACTCAACACACCAAGCTTGGCGTCAGTTTGTTTATCGGTTCAGAGGAAGGAACATCCTGTTTGAGACTCTTCAACATAAACGCTTTTTTCTGTTTCCAGTCAAATTATTGGTCATTTTGAAATATGTTTGTGTTGATTTAAAGAAAATAATCTTGAATTACACCAAGTGAACTAAAATTTTATGGGTGAAATGGCACCATGGGGTGACTTCTCTTCCACCCCAATGCCTTCTCTTCTCCCTTCTCCTCCACCCCCATTCTAATTCCCATCATCATCCAGGAGCCTTCAACATACACACCTCAAAGTATGTGTACTTTTCTACCTTTTTTGTTGAATTTAGGCAATTTTCGGTGAGCTGGAACCAATTTCCCAAAAACCCATTGAAACAATGGTTTCGGTTAACGCGCAACCTTCTAGAACGAGTTGTGCTCGTTAACCGAGGGACCACTGTATAAACAGCAATAACAAAAGAATATAAATACAGTACTGTAGTACAGACAGTAAAAATTAAAGCATTAAAAGAGGAAAAATTAAAAAAAAATTATTGTACAAAATGTGTTGCAGTCGCCCCTGATAATTGCCTTGGCACCTTAACGGCATCCTCACCAACGGTGCTCCGCCACGAATCGTCTGACCTCCACACATTCACCACACAGCTTCACAGATGTAAACCTATAGATACGTATAACTATACAATACTGTATACAGTACAGTACCCTATGATAATTATTTCTTTTATTTCTTTTTTCATTTTTTGTATGTCGGATTGTGTGTGCATATAACGGAGTAAAAAAAAATTATGCGTATGAATCTAAAATTACGAGTTGAAAAAATAACCATAACATAACATACAGCTCACAGGTGAGGAATGGTTGGAAACATTCCTGCTCATCTCTAGAATTACTTTTGGCGTGTATTTTAAATAATATGTTCCAAAACATAGCCGATTTTTGGAGCATTCTGGATAATGCACAGGGACGTCAGATACAGTAGGTGGTCCCCTACCTGTATAATGTACAGAAGGATTAAATTGCATCTTATTCCAGTGTACCAGAATACAGTACTTATCCTGAACAAGATTGTGTAGGGACTTATGTAATATTCTTTAAGTTTTGCTACTCACCAAAATATGATCAGATTACACGTACGTACAGTATTGGGGGTCTTGGCTATCTCTGTACTTCTTGTGTTTATCTTATGTTTACATTATTTGTAATTTATATTTTTGGATCCTCAGTTCAACAAATACACAAACACCAATTTCTTTTCCCATGTGTAACAGATTGGATGTGCTGAGTCTGTAGATTATTATATTCAATCTTTAAATGGAATTGCCAGGGTCAGTTTTGGTCTCTGATCAAAAACTTAAATCATAAATCACCCAAGTCTTAAAGAATTGTATTTTGCTGGATACCCCAAAAATGACTGGTACAGGACATCAAATTTATCAGCTTCCAAACCCTCCAACTTTGAAAAACCCAGAGTTACCTTGTACTGTATCACCTAATGTACCCCTATAGCCACCAGTATTTCCTTAGATGACCAAATTTCATCATATGTACTGTCAGAATCATTGCCAGAAGAGTGTTTCACATTGAAACTGACACATTTTCCTCTTTGGATGCGAATTATAATATGGTATGTCCCCAGTGACTTTTGAAATGAAAGGTTTCCATCTTTGATAAGACATCCTAACGACTGTACTACAGAGTCTAGCAGGAAACATGATTGTTAGAATTGAGTAATAATGATCCATCTTTTATAAAATACTGTATATCAAGAATGAGAACTTTCCTAACAATAGAGTGATAAAATGATCTGTCTTTTTCAGGTCTAAAAAATATACAAGATGTTGTACTGTCCACCAAATGTCACATTCAATCACATCTGGGTCAACCATGGCATATCTCACTGCTTTTTGGACACAGTCACAACCTCTGTTTATGCGTCATTCATAGTTTTATTTGGATTGGGACAGTGGCTTATGTACCGCAAGTATGCCACAGAGACTGACCAGTATTTAAGGCCAAAATCTGTACTATTTGGCATCCAAGTGGCACTTTCGATCTTGATGCTGTTGATAGCATGTGCAAGAATAATTCTCCAAGCAACAGTCATTGGTGAGAAAACATGAGAATTATTGATTACTGTACAATTTGTCTTATACTGTACTTTTAGTGAAGAACCAGTACTGTGGCTCATGATTAGGGTCATTGTTGGAAATACAACAATAGTATTCAATAGTTCAACTGCTTTCCATTTTTTTAATTGGATGGATCTTATTAAAAATTGTCATGTTTTGTGTTGAAAATTTGGGAATAAAAGTAATTTTAGATAAGCATATGCATTTATGGTAGTTTTTTAAATTGCCAAGAAGACACATACAGTAATTTATGGCCATACAGTGTGTCCTTTTTGAGTGACTGATGGGATCCTGATATGCTAAACACCCCATTGATGAGGGGCTTGATGTAAGCTGCCAGTGCACCTCTTTGCCAGTCACACCAGAAGGCCATTAAGGTATCTATTGGTCTGTTGGTTGCTGATATGGCCAGTGAAGATGCTGTACATTAAAAATGTTTCAGGTGTGACTGGGCAAAGGACTGCACTGGCAGCAGTTGCAATGTTTACTTGGTTAATGTGAAGTATCTTGCTGCTCATCACTGACAGACTGTCATGGTGTGTTGAGCATATGGGGATGTCACTCATCGTGGCTCTTGGCCACATTGATTATTATGCTTCAATCGTTCATTTCTTTTAGTGGATTGACTGAAAATTTGTAAAATATGGATTAACAGATGTCCTCAGTATCATAATTAAAATCCTTAATATCTCTGTTTCTTACCATAGAAATAATATTAGCTGCCTTGCTCTGTTTATTTCACTATAATAATGAAAGCGAGAGAACTTACCTTTTGCAGTTGGTTGGGCTAATGTGTCTTCTGGATTTTGGAAAAGACCAGACATATATATTAGTTAAAATCAATTTTCACATGTAAGTACAGTATTTAGATAGCTAGGTTTTTCTGTTGTATTTTTTTTTAAATTTTATCCACCAGTTAATTTATAGACATGTAACTGATGATAATGATCTTTTATATTCCTTCAGAAGAGAGCATGTTTTCCTTTTTTTAACTTAATGCCAATACTGTATTATATGTGATAAAATTTTTGTCATAGGTCACTTATTTCCTTAAGATAATAAATATACAACTGTTGAATTTTGTTATGATATAATGATTATCAGTGTTACAGTAGAACATAATAGTATTAAAAAGAATTTTAAATGAGTAAATCAGGTTTGCAAAAAAGAAAAAGAAAAGGAATTTAAGTGTCTCTAGTAACACACACATGTTTTGTATTCAGGTGACCATGTTCTCTATGGGTATATGATTCTATACTTTGGCTGCAACCTGGTGTGCTGGCCACTATCCCTTCGTATTGTGTTCTTGGAGCGAAATTATCTCCTACCAACCGTACCCACCAGAGGGCATGGGGTCGTGTTGCTTGTGTTCTGGACTCTGGTGTTTGTCAGTGAAAATCTTGCTTTTCTCAATCTAAGGAATGAAGATTGGTGGTTTGACCTGTCAACGTGAGTACAAGATACTTTTAATTTTGAGTTTTATTATTATTTGGTTTTGGAGGATTACCCATTCTTAAAGTTTTTGTTTATGGCATCATACCTGCAGACTTGCTACAGTGGAACCTCCATATAACGGACTTCTCTCTATGTATATATTCCGTTAGATGGGGGTTTTCACATCTAATGGACCCTCGATATAACGGACTTTCCTCTTTGTATAGTCCATTAAATAGAGGTTTTATTGTATATCCACAAGCGTGTTATGTATTGAATTGTAACAGGAGGAGGGTAAGAGAATTAGGGCAGGAACTCTTGTATTGTACAGGGTATTGAAATTTATGAGCATTGATGGATGTTATGTAGTAATATGAGAGGGTGAGGAAGAGGCATTGAAAGGGTAAGAAAGTGTTGTAGATGATACATGTTATTGATTAGTTAATAGTATCGTTAATTATAGATAATATTTTTGACACATGGAAATATTACGGTGTTTATTTATAGATATTATTATTACTTGTGGGTGATAGATTGTAAATTAGATATGATAGATCTTTGTTGATTATAGATGGTAGATTTTTTTAAAGATAATATTAATGTTAACAATAGATAATAGATTGATGATATATTGTTAGCACTGTTGGAGAATATTTGTAATGATAGAAGAAATATTTAAAAGGATTACAGAATATCATAAACATGGGAAAGTAAGAATATTGACTTTGGATCTTATAATCAGAAAAAATTACATTATAGAATCATTTGGCACTATATAAAATTTTGCTTGGTTTTCTAGTGGTATTAGTGACCATTGTCTCTCTTTATTAGGTAGCATGTGGGATGAGATAAGATTTTTAAGTGTTATATTTCCTTTAATTTGCCCCAAAACCCACACAGTCGATGTTCTTTTTTTATTTTTTTATTTACATATTTGTTTTTCACTTATGTTTGTTTGGTATCTCGTGTGTATAGGTCAATACTTTTTCCACAGTTTTAGAAGGTCCTTTCATCTTTTTTATTGACACCTATTTTTATTTCTGGTGTGTTATACCCCCTTCACAAAGACCAAAGGTTTGATTAGAGTCAGTAATAATCCATTGAGGCAAAAATGGGGGCAAGTCTACAAATGTGATGAAAACCATCTTTAATGTGTCAGGGAATGAAAGGAAAATGAAGATGATTATGATATTAATTTATTGCAATAGGATTCTTGTTATGGCGGGTTGTGAGGTTTTGGCAGTGCTAAATGAGGAGAAAAAGAAAGGTATGTGGATAGTGGCAGGTAAGGAAGGCATGATGAATTAAGGTAAGCTTATAAAAAGAGCAGATGAAACGTGAAGAGCAAGTTTGGCACAGAGTCTTAAAGAGAGCGGGGAACTATTCTGGAGGGAAGTTAATGAGTCAACATAAAGATGGAAGGATGGGGGTGAAGAACACGTTAGAGGTGAAGGGAACAGATATCTTGGAGCGGCAGAGAGAGCGAGTGAGTGGAGATCATAGTACTGTACTGTAGCAAGGGTTTTTGGGGGTGAATATGATGTTCGGTCTTGTTGTGGAAGGCGGATCATAGCAGACCACATCTATTATAGCAGTTAGAATGACAATGAGGGTAAAGAGAAAAAGTTTGAAAATAGTAGATTAATTTTATTGTTAATTGTCATAAACTAATTTGTTTGTTATTACATATTTGTTTGTGATGAAAAATATTTCTCTCTTTCAGTTGTGTAATCAGTTAACTTTCTTTTTACAGGATAACTGATAAATTAGAATTTGTCCTCTTCATTTTGCGTTATGTCTGTGGCTGCTTCCTCTTTATTCTTGGACTGAAGGCTCCTGGAATATCAACCCTTCGAGACTACGTAAATTTTGGAGGAACAATTAATGATCCACTGGTTACTGATGATGTAAGTGAACATGATCAACCTTAGTGGAAGTATTGGCACAGTTTTCATGTCTGGTTTTATATATACCGTATGCTGTAGTATATATATTGCAATGTTTGTGAGGCCTATATTTATTATGAATTTTAATTTTTTTTTTAAATTGTGCTTGCTGTATATCTTGCAAATGCATCTATAAGATTCTTTTGTTCTTATATAGTTGTCAGTTTTACTAATTTTTTCTTACATCTTGCAAAATGCTTCTGTGAGGTCCATTGGTTCAGATTCCTAAAATCTGCTGTCAGGTTACTATTTCTGCTTAGCTTTTATTCCAAGTACTGTACAATACTCACACAGTTATCAAGTCTAGTATAAAGTTTAACCCAATTTCATAGTAGAGTCAGAAGACCCTGCCAGTGGATGGGTGTCACCACTGACTGGCCTCCCAACTTCTGTGCCACCACACATACTGTAGTATTATTCTATTTCTGTAAGGTGTACAGTCGGGGACAAAAGTTTGCTTCCTGTAGTGAAACCGAGTCATGGGAATGAGTCTCTCAACTTACTCACTCTGACTGTCATCTGGTGTGGATGTGTTGTTTTATTTCATTTGGGGTCGATGCTGCTTCAGTTTGGGAGGGAGGGAACTTTTGACCCCGACTGTACTGTACAATTATGTGGTTTGTACTGTACTTACTATGAGACAGGAAGATCATCCACAAGCTGTGAGTCACAGTTACACATGCTGCACCACATCACATCATGGTAATTCAATAAAATGGGGATGAATTAAATGCACAGTTTGGTCACAATTACTATATCATGGTTAATTCACTTCACAGTTGGGTGAGTCATGGTTAACAGTGTGAGTACTGAACTGTACTTTATTGCTTGAAAAGGGTGATCATTTTAACTGAACACTCCCAGTTAAACTGCACTTGAAGGGAAAGGAAATGAAAAGGAAAATCCATATATTGTTCATTCAAAATATTATTGAACTTAAAGTAGGATTTATGTGTGTAGATGATAAGCAAATATACGAGGAAAAATGGGACCTTAGAAATAAAATTTTGCAAAAGAGAACTTTAGGTGGCCGAGTCTTATTTAAGTTAACTATTCAGAAAGGCAAGTACTAAAACGATTCTTGCATAGAAAGTTTACTTAGTACAGGTATTGAATTTTTGAGGGACTTTTCTAAATTAAGATATATTTATCTAGTCAGTGTGTAATTTTTATTTTTATTTTATTTAAACAGTTGTTTCACAGAGAAGATATTTTGTAGCCTTTGTGCTAATGGAAAATAAAAGTATGACGTATTTAAAGTAATAGTAAATAAGTGATGATCAGGCCTATTTCTCATCAAAAGGTGCATTTTTATATTTTTTTTATATAATTTGTAGGTTATAATGACATCAACAGTAGCATGATCTATTGAGTACAGTATTATTTATAATTAATAAAGGATATATAACACTGTTTTGCTTATCTTTGTATTGACATATTGGGTGGTCAGTCTTAGTTTATCACTTCATAGATGCAGTGCACTAGGAGTTGTCTTTCGTATGGATGGACAATACTGTATAGTACAGGTAGTTCTGCTATAACGCGATAATTGTGTTCTTGTAAAATATCGTGTTATAGAAAATCGCGTAATAGAAATAACAGGGCTTATGGAGAAAATAGGGTTCGGTGCAGTTTACTCGAAATCGAAAAAATTTAGTAGTTAGCCTAACACAAAGGATAGCACAGTCTAAATAAATGTTACATTCATATCTAATAATGAAATCATACAGTAAATTTAACACTTTACCTTGAAAAAATATGAATGTAACTTGATGGGGGAGAAGGGTGATTTTGAGGTTGATAACATCAAGCTTCTCTTCAAGTGTTATATCCTTTCTTTTACGATAATCACCGGGAATTCTATCATCAGAATGCTTTTTGGAGATATTCTTCTTTACCATATTCACAGTTAATACCACAAAATTGGAGAAATAGTAAGCAAAAATCGCGTTATAGCAAACAAGCGATCGCGTTATACAAATATTGTTCCGAATTCATAAATCGCGTTAGAGCAAATTCGCGTTATCAAAACACGCGTTATAGCAGAACTCACTGTACTCATTAATTTTAATATCCCTTAATTTTTCTGTCTTTTCCATGAGAACCAATGCTCCATTTTTTGGGGTAACATATAAGCATGGTTATTTTGTAGATGATTATTAACATTATTGCACGGTCTGTTATGTATAGTTACGATAGTCTCTCTAATCCTTCACTTGTTAGTACAGTATCAAGATTAGATGATCTTTTTAAATAGGAACAAATTTGTTTGTCCAATAAACTGTTAACTATATTTGCACTTTGATTTTCATTGCAACTCTTGTAAGAATACTCTAAGTGATTAATAACTTTATCATAAAAAATCCCTCACATCACAGATCAAGACAGACTGTATTGACCTTTTAGATGGCACATGAAGCACATAAATTAATATTAATATTTTGTTAAACTGGTAAATTTGTAGTTTTGTTTTTAGTTTCATGTTACCTTTTACTGTACAGGTACCATACTGTATATAGTTTTTCAACATAACCCAGTCAGACTTAATTTCTCATTCTGTACAATTTAAAATGTCTTCTTCTCATGTTGCACATTTTGGTAACAAAGTTTTTACCAGTTAGATATTTTAATTAACAGATATAGAATTTTTGTGATGGCATCATCATTCATTCAACCTTAATTAGATGAAAAATAGAGTGTTTATAATAACAGACCAGCCATTGGAAAGAAATGAAGTGAAGCGGGGATGTGATGTCTCCTTACCTGTTCAACATATGTATGGTTGGAGTGGTGAGGGAGGAGAAAGAAACTGATGACTGGGGTAAGAGTAAAGCTGGTGAATGTGTATCTGGCAGGCTTTGTGATGAAGGGAGAATATATGTAGCTGCTGGAAATGGCGAGATAAAAAGTACTCGAGATGTGAGAGTGTGACATAGTAGATTAAAATGAATCTGGATGCTCCCATACCAGTGTGTGATTTACTTGACACATGCATACGGGTTTAATAAACCGGTAGAGGTAGACAAATCACAGTGTATGGGGTGTTTGGAATGAAAGAGAGTGTAAATTTTGGAGTAATGGATTTGGGTGAAAAGAGTTTCTCTGAGATGGTATGGGCATACGAAAGAAAAGCTGTGAGAGGATAGGGTGGTAAGGAAGGTGTGCACAGGAGCAATGTGCAGGTGTGTTTGGAGAAGGGAGATCACTTACAAGAGAGTGGGGACAGGATGAGGGGAATAGATAATGTAGTTATATACTGTACAGTACTGTGATAGGGTAGGGTGGCCTGGAGGCGAATTTTTCTTAGGCACTCTTGTAGTGGGAGGTCCCTTAGGATGTGAGGCAGTGCAGAATAGGAGAAAATTGTGGTGAATTAACAATGTGGGGTTACTACTTGCTTGCTAATCAACAACTGGTGTACTTTTATGAATTATAACAGTTGCTAAGGACACCAAAATGGGTAAAGCTTGTGTGGTAAATCATCTGGCATATTTATTTTATGCAGATTGTTCTCGTTTGGTACATGTTTTCAGAATATTTATGTTGGAAGAAAGTTGGATAAGTCAGATAGTGACAATATCTCATTAACTCCTTAATGTACGAGTATTAGGGCTTTATGATTTTCATAAAATTTTCAGCTTTGACAATTTTATTAAGCTCTGCAAGTGTAGTAATATTATAGCCTGTGTGCCATGTTGATGCTCTTGCTTTTTTTTAAAGACATCTTTATGTGTTTCTTACAGACAGTGGTCTAGAAATAATAAACTCAGATACTGTAGCTAGTGCTTCTAAAATTTTAAGTTACTAACATCTTTGTCTTTATCTGTTATACAATATTAGTAGTGTTTGTGCATGCTCAACTGTTGAATTTTGGTGCCATTGCTTTTTCTCATCGTTTTCTGCATTTCTGCTTTACCTTTTAATTTATTTAATCTACTTCACTGAATATAATGGAACATCAGTATCCATTATGTAATATAAGGAGATATTTCTTCATGTATGGAAGGTGAGTTTTATCTTTTTAATGTTCAAACAACTGCTTCTTAGGCTTTTTTGTTCTTAGTTATATATCTCCCAGTACCTGTAAGAAATGCTAGAGATATTGCAGTTGATATAAATTTTTATGAACATTTTATATACGGTGGTCCCTCGATTAATGAACACAATTGGCTCCACACAGTCGGTTGTTAACCAAAAATCTATTATTTCAATGGGATATTGGGTAATTGGTTCCAACTCACAGGAAAAGTATACATACAAAGTACCAGCAATAGAATTAACAAAACTTTAAATATAAACTAAATACAGTACTGTACTGTACAGTATACTGTACAATAATAAATAAAAAACAATAGAATACTATACTATATTTTAACTTACTTTGAGGTGTGTATGTTGTATTCCCGGCAGCTTTGTTTACATATCAAACAGCTGATTGTAGAGGCAGTCGATGATGACGTGCCATATTCTTTACAGAGTGCATTGGTTCTAATGCCTTCTTCATGTTTACCAATATGTTAACTAAATTTCAGAATGACCACTAATTTTAATATAAAGAATGTAAAAATATTCATGAGCACCATTTTCTTGATATTTACTACACTGGAAACGAATGAAAACATGGAACCAATTACTTTATTGGCGGACTAGCTGATCAGCTGATGCGCACAACAAAGCGTGTTTCTCATAAGGCTGTCGTTAATTGAAGTTTTGTTAATTAATGGAACTGAAGATCCTTATGGGAGCTAATTCGTTAACCAAATTTTTGTTAATTGAGCCGTTCGTTAATCGAGGGACCACTGTACTGTACTAACCTTGAGGCTTACAACAAATTTATTCCACTAATTTAATGTACTTTATCAAGCATTTTTGACTCCCAGTAATGTTTGAGAAGTTAAAGAGTGGTGCTCGAGTAGTTTAGAAGCAGCACACACTTACACTACAGGCAAAATTAGACACCA